TTGAGCAGCGCCTTGACTCCGTGCGTTTTCCCTGAGTCCAGACCCGTGATCTGAACATATACGTCCATTGAATGCCTCTTCCTCTCAGCCTGGTAACTGCGCAATTCCTGCGCCAACCTGCTGGGCTGGGGGCCCTTCTGTTTCTTGGCCGCCAATTTCCTTTGAACGGCATCCGGCACCCTCGTGCGTTTGGGTGCTTCTGGAATCCTGATTTCGGCAGATTCCTTGGGCGCTTCCTCCTTTTCCAAGGATTGAGCCTTCCGAGCGGTGCTCCCCTTTTCGGTCTTTGTTGACGTGGTTTCTTCTCCACGAGCCATAAATACGTAGGAATCCAAAATTAATTTATCTGCAGCTTTCCGATCCTTTTTACTTTGTAAATACTCTCTATTTAAAGCTATTTTTCCTTGGCGTTCTTTTTCCATATCAGCAATGAGAAAATCGTGAATATTGGTACGTAGTGAGTCCGAGATCGTGTATGCATGTGTAGAATCGTTCATGTCTTTAATCGAAACAAGTACAGAAAAACGTCCATAGTCCGGACGCTCCACCTCCTTGGCTAGAGGAGTGGAGCGCTTCAAAAACCCTTCTTGCGCAGCTTCTCAGCAATCTCCTTGAGGAACTTGTTGTCCTTGTCCCCGTTCTCGATCTCTTCCAGCATCGTGGCCCGATTGAAGAATGTGCGCTTCTTCCTTGGCTCCGGACAGTTCCGCGCAATGTGCCCAGGCTGCTGACAGTTGTAGCAGATGATATTGCGGCCGCGGGCGTGGGTGCGATCAATTTCCATCGGAACTGGTTCGTTGGCAGCGGGTCGGGCCGGGGCGGGTGCAGGTGTCATTGGGGCTGCCTGCGGGCGGAATTGGGGAGGCGGTCGTGGTGCGGATTGCGCATGCGATGCTTTGCGCAGCTGATCGCGTAGAGCGTTCGCCTCGATGTTGACACACCAATTCTTGAAGGCACCATATGCCTTGGGCAGGGGGACGCCAGTGTTGTAGAGGCGGCTTGCAATTTTGCTGCTGAGTCCGCGCTCCAGGAACTCGATGAGGATATTGTCCTGTTCCCCCTTCTTGTACTCGCCCTTGCTGTCGGTGGAGGTGACCACGTTGTACCCCGCGTCTGCAGCCAGCATTTCGAAGTCGGAGATGTAGTCCGCAAAGGACCGTCTGCCCTGGCGAAGGGCCATGAGTCGGGCGGCAGCGACTTGCTCTGCGTTAGAATCCCCAAAGGCCCTCTGAAGCTCCTCCAAGAAGCTTGTCGCGGTGACTCCCGCCTTTAGTCCTTGGAAGCCCTCGAAATTGTGCTGCTTCCAGTTCATCGCCCATCTTGAGGCGGCGCAGCTTGTGCCGCTCTCATTGCGGAGGTAGGACAGGACGAAGAGAATTTTCGTCTCGTCCAGCGAGAACTCTGACCGATAGGCACCGATGTAAGTGGTGCACGCGTCCACAAAGCCCAGGTACTTGGACTTGTTGCCATCGAAGTAGGGGGGATTGGCGGCGAGGGTGATGCGGTGATGTCCTGACATGGTAGGAGCAGGTGCGGTAGGTGGGGGTGAGGGTGGTTGTTCGGAGGGTAACTCGCCAAGGTCGGGGAACTCGTCTTCAGGCGGCGGAAGGGCGAGGTAGGGGTTGGAGGGCCCGGGTTGGTTTTGATGCGCCAGATCGGGCGACGATGGTATGATGGGGGGAGGGGATGGACTCCCAGATGACGATGGGAATCGGTACGAAATGGTGGATTCGTGTGCTGTGCCCGATGATCCCGAGGTGCGTTTTCCCGAAGGTCTCCGCAGCACTCCTTGTAGCTACCGTAAGGCTTGGGTCGGGCTCAACGTTACCCGTGGCCTGGTGCTGTTTGCTCGATATGAACCCTTCACTGCGATAGTGGAGGACGACTAGATGATTCGGTAAAAGGGTAAGTTGGTTGATAAGGGTTAAGAGGATATAGCGGGCGTAGCGGTGCGGGATGCAGGGTAAGAGGTATGGGGTAGGAGGGTATGAGGGGAGTCTTCGAATTATGTGACAATCAACCCAAAAATGAAGTCGAAAAGAGAAGTGAATTCGAAGACTGGAGAATACAACCAAGTAGCTACAGTATTTATACCCAAATCCAGTCTGAGTCATATCTACAACTAATGAGTCATAGGGCTATGTACCGCACGGAGCACTGGTCATGGGTTGTAGTAGAACCTTCCGGAGCATATGTCGCGCAGCCTCGAATCGATAGAGATAACCCCTGGAACCCCTAGCCCGGACCGTCTGATGCCGTGATCCGTGATAAGATAAGCCGTGCCGAGATAAGATAAGATCGTCAAAGATAAGATGAAAAAGTGGCCGAACTATGACACCAGGACTAAGTAGGACAGCTTATTACAGATTTGCCTTCTCCTTGTGCTTGTGGGACTTCAGACAAAAAAATCACCAACCAAGGGTTAGGTATTCCAATATCCTTGCTGACCTAGCTTTTGTTCTTCCTAGAATTGTTTTTGGGCAAGTTTCCTGTCATGTGTAAGCATCATTATCAAATGACAAGCCGTATCAACATGTTCCAGTGAAATGCTGAGAGCGTGCTCACAGGTGAATCTACTATGAAAGTAAACCCAAATACAAGCACGTTCACACTCCTTGTAATCAGCTTTTCAGCATGTGAAAGATGCAAGGGCTTTGGGGTGGACAGAACACCGGAATCACAACTCTCAATAGTTGCAGAAGACGGAGTCAACACGCAAGAATTTATATAGCAAGAAACAGTGTCTCAACCAATATCTTCTATACAGCCAAAATCAACACTAATCCAACCACAACCAACAATATCACAAGTCAGAACTTAATACTTTGTATTAAGATCCCTTGTAGCAACAGCATCCAAATAGTGATGCAAAACCCAAAATACCAAGTTGATGTACCGCCAACTAGTGCAATGAAAATACTAACTAGTAGAACCAAAATGCTGTGTTAATGCACTGTCAACTAACAGCCAAATCCAAAGTCCAAAACCCAAGCACAACTTGTTGACGTACTGCCAAGCAAGAAGTGTGGAACCAAAGTTCTCAAGTCGACACACTGCCAGACTAGAGGTGTGGAATGATCTCAATGAAACCCAAAGTAGTGGCACAAAGTGTTGCAGTGAAACCAGAAGTGGCGGATCTGACTTTCTGAGGTCTCAACTCAAACTCAAACTCAAACTCAAATCACAGTAGCTACAAGTGCTCAGGGAACAACTTATCACAACTAGACAGGGATAACAGAACTTCTTAAGGGGGAATCACGCAACACACAAATTGTGAAAAACAATCTGATATGGCTATGATTCACAGTCCAGGGGAAAGCTTCCTAATACAAAGAAATGTTACGCTACTTATACTGTCTATGCTGGTGCTTAGTAAAGTCCTGTACAGCTGCATAGTAGCTACACTATCTAAGATCAGTTGCTTTTTATGGTAATTGAAAGTTGAATGATCGGACAGGTCTTGACTGATCAGGACCCCACCCCATTGTTCATATAGTGTTTTTGATATAGCACAACCCACCACATCATACTTTTGGAATACAAAGCATTGGATTGGCTAACTGGTATGTCTTGGCAAGTGAGTCCAACATGGGTGCCCCAAGAAGCTGTATGGTCCTAGGCATGCCAGGTGTTGCTCACATGGTTTGGTTCACAGATCTTGTCCGTGTTGCTTTTGGTGTGTTTGGGTATGGACGCGGCTTGTTGCGACACTTGGAAGTGTTGCCACAACATATCCACAGTATCCTGTGATCAAGTTAGAACATGGCCCGTGACAAGTTGTTGCCATGGCGTGATCCGAGGGAATGTCCAACCCAAGTCTGAGAGTTGCCGTGACAAGATTGCTTCAATCTTGTAACACCAAGTCCCTTCTAGTAGTAATTGTTATATTGAGCACATCATGCATTGCTAAGCCCTCTGACATGAGTTCCCATCTGCAGAGAGTGACCCTTTCAAGGAGTTGCCACAACAAGAATATCCCTTTTGAGAAATTGCCACAACACGAGTGTCCGTCGCTACTAGCCCTGATTCTGGTATAGACTTATAAGACCAATTCCACAGTAGTGGTCTGACTACCTTGCCATTGTTGACACTATCCACAGTCGTTGACTGGGCAGCAAACCCTTAAGTCCCACTGAGCGCAACACTGGCACCTGTGACATGATACACTGAGTGGTTTAAGAGTAAACTCTGTAAAAGTGCAAAAATACACCCTTATAGAGTTGGTGCAGGGCACGTCTGGTAGCCAGCCTATCGCCAATCTAGCCCCTTATTGTTCCCTGGCCTATTGTTCTGTGCTTCCCATTGTTCCAATCATCCCTATTGTTCTGTAGACTATATATAGTGGGCCCTGACAAGGAGAGTCCCCAACTTGGTTTCTCTTTGGACTCTCCCTTGTCAGATTTGCCAGTCTCCTGTATTAGTTGATCCCCTTATCTGATGCTTTGGACTCTCCCTTGTCAGGACTCTAAGATTGGGCCTCAAGGTTGCCCTTGCAGATTCTGGCCTCAACTCACATCACAAGTCTGCAGCATGAAACCAACATGTTGTGGGTAGCATTCAGTAGCATTTTGCAAGGCCAGGAATGCAAATTGGGGCCAGAATCAACAGATTCTTCTTGTAGTTTTAATCTGTTTTCAGTGAAAAAAGATCATCTTTTTTGTTTCTATTTTCAGTGAAAATTGATATCTATTCCCAGTGAGAATTATTTAAAAAAAGATGATCTATTTACAGTTCTGTTTTTGGGAGATGTCTATTCATGGTAAAAATTGAGCTGTAAATTGATGTCTATTTTCAATATATATATTTTGTCTGAAAACAGAACAGTGAAAATCAGACTTCTAGATTGTCACGTATTTTCTCCCCCGCAGTGAAATGAGCCCCAAGAAAGTGAACAATCATGATTGATGTATGATTGTGAATGAGATTCATTCATTAACTGCGCTGTGATCACCATTTTTGGGACTACTAATTTTACTAATCTGAAAAGTGCTCCAATTTTGTAACATATTCTTGAAATGTGATTACATATTCTGGTACAAGGATGTAATCACAGGTGCCTTCAATCTTGTAATTCAGCCTGATGTTGTTGATCAGACAAAAGCGGAAGATGTGACCGGGACGGCACGTGATGTCCATCGAAGATTGTCCGGGGCTACCTTACGTGTGTCATGCATCATATTTGGCGACGCAGAGCAGTTGAGTACAAATCAGCGAGCGAGGCACTGGTTTCGGCAGTGTTATTTTCGTCTTTCTCATCGTAATCTTATCTTCTCACGGGCCCCGATCAAGGGCATAGCCACCATTGCATGACCTTGAGACGAACGGTCGTTACACTCATCTTGACACTCACTGCTCTCGTGTGGTGTTATCACGCATTCTCCAGACTCGAATCCATACCCATCGTATCGAGCATGGCTGCTATTGCTCCCCTGAAGTCAATCGTCGTCCCAGCGCTTCAGAAACATACCGCGACCGTCATCTTCGTGCATGTACGATTCGATCTTCTCGGTTGGTTGACGGCAGTGCATTCAACCCCGCGATCGATCTAGGGACTGGGGGACTCTGGAAATGGATGGAAGCCTGTTGCGGATATGCTCAAGAGCCAACTCCCGCAGGTGAAGTGGATCCTACCGCACAGGCGCGTCCCAGCTGCTTTACCAAACGTGATGCTTTCTGCGATATTGAACAGAGCTGTAGTCCTTCAATGGCGGTTACCGCTAATATGGGGATGTCGATGCCTTCATGGTCAGTTCCTGTATGGCTCTTAGTATCAGCAGGCTGATCGAGCCGTAGGTTCGACATCTATTCGTTCGACTTCAACACGGAGGAGGACGAATCGGGGATGCTCAAGACCGTTCACTCGCTGAGCAAACTGATTACCGAGGAAGTAGACGCTGGGATTCCCGCCAACCGCATCGTGCTGGGTGGCTTCTCGCAGGGCGGTGCCATGACCCTGCTCACCGGTCTCACCATCGAGCGCAAACTTGCCGGTCTCGCGGTCCTCAGCGGCTGGCTACCCTTGAACAAGAAGTTCAAATCTGTACGCCAATCCTGCTCTGCTCTGTATCACAGTCTTACGAGGCATCTCAGATGGTGTCCGAGCACGCGACCTCGTTGCCCATCTTCTGGGGTCATGGTCAGGCTGACCCCCTCGTCAAGCTCACGCTCGCCGAGCAATCGAGAGACATACTTAAAGAGAGCATCGGAGTCTCCGACGCAACTTCAGATCAGTTCAAGGGACTCTCATTCAACACATATCCGGACGTGCCACATTCGACTAGCCAGGAAGAACTGCGCGATCTGGCAGTATGGCTGAAGAAGGCCCTTCCTGCTGAACCTTGATCACCTTTCCATAGATAGCAGCAGTATGTGCGTAGACAATGCGTGGGGTTTGGTCGACAGTAAATCCTGTCAATCCCACCCTGCATACCTATCAAAATGAACGCAGTGGTGATAGATAGGCATGAAAACGACGATGAGCGGGTATAAGTAAGCACCGGGTAACAACACTGCGCAAAACATGAGCGACCATGGCTGATGAAAGAAATGGGACCCACCAACAAGACAAATGACAATCAGCCAGTTCCAAAATGACCACCAGTATCAGTGACCGGAATTCCAAAATCTCTATCATCCACTGAAATCCACCCGCAGCAACCCCACCACCCACAACGAAAACAACAACGCCACCGCCCACATAAACGCAGACCAGAATCGAAGCCACGCGCGCCGATCGGCCATAGCAATCGAGTATGCCGACCGAGGGTCGTAGTACGTGTAGTTCCCGTCCGGGAACGAGGAAAGGAGCGGTGTGGGGCCGGCGGCGAACGCTATGCCCTGCGGCGACTCGGGATGCGGGAACGCCGACGGCGAGGGCGGAAGGAAAGCGCTGGGCCATTCCGGAGCGGGCGTGTCGAGTAAGGGACCGCTCGTAGGGGCCTGCGCCGGGGCCAGGGTGCTCGTGGCGGCGGCTGAGGTAGACGGGCCCGAGTAAGCGGGCGGGGGAGATGGTGTCCGCACGGGGCTCGGGTCCGTCGTGGATGGGCTCGTTTTAGCGTCATTTGGCGAGTTCGCAAAGACGTCGCCCTCGTCGTCGACGACTATCATGGTGGAAGCCACAAAAGTCGTTGATTTGCTGCGGCGACCGAGGCGGCTTCGTGGCACAGCCACGTATTACCCTATATGCTCTCTGCTCCAATGATCGACGAGCAACGGGGCATTTTCACTGCGCTGTTGTCCATCTCTCCTCCAATGGGTTTTCTATGCAGTTTTATAGCTCCAGTCTCTGAACAGAATTCAGTGTGGGCGCGCAAGTCTATGGGATTCTACAGACCTTGGGCGCTTCTCGTTCACAGTATCCGCGCTGGGCCCCTCCCCCTTTCTCTTCGCCAGCGTGTCTGCATATAAAAAATAGAAAAAGCAGAAAAAGCACGCAAAGAGCTGGAAAAGATCCTCCTCGGATCTTTCTTATCGTTTTGAACCACAACTTTATTGTCGCAGATCTCTGCGCGGCCTGGTAGGTCTCTTCGCGTGTACATTTTGGACCGGTCTGGATTGACTTGTATCTTCGCGGTCTAGCTCGAGCCAGGAATGTGGATGCGGATACTGATAAAGAAGCTCCACACGCCAGCTTCGAGGGTAGCTTCGACGCGTTATACCGATGATATCTCCTAGTCGCTGTCGCAGGCGGATTGGGCGGTTCTCACCTCGGTGCCGCATGGGATACGGACTGTCTCGGCTGTCTTCATTCCCGACATTTTTACGTGTTCATCTCGGACAGCGGGCCAAGTGGCGATCAGGTGCTGAGGAACTTTCCCGTCTGGTAGATGTTTCGGTCGCTGATCCCCATACACCTGCGGGCGAGCTCTGGTACTTCTGCAGACCTCGTTTGACTTCTGGATCGGCGTCATTTCACAAGAACGCGTGCGGGGCACCGACTTTTTGTGCGCACAAAAACAGCTTGCGGCTTGAGCTCTTCGATATACGAACCGATTTCCCGTATCGTGTATCTCTTGCAGGGGACTTCCTGGTATTTCAAAACGGCGTGGAGGGACGGGATTGAAGACGCTTCGACGACGTGTTTTCTCCGGTCTAGTGTAGGGACATCGACGGTGCATCAGAACCACGGGAGGATGCCGCTGGAGGCTCCAGCGCGTGGTTCAATCTCGTCAGAAGATTCTGCCGGGTCGATACGTGTCCAGGATCTAAGGTAACTGTCAGTGTGCTGAGAGAGATGGTGTCGCATGGACTTTACCGATTCCTTGCCCAGTGCGTTTCCCACGCGTCAGATGTTGCGGCTCGACTTGGCAACGCCTCGGGGGTCAGATTCGATCCAGCCTTGTGCAGAGATGACCTACCAAATAAATCATCCAGCAGCCAACTCTCTCCCAGACTCGGGTCTCAGCCCATTTCCATTCCTGCGGCGGAAGCCACACCGCCCCCGCTTGTCCCCGAAATTCACAGGCGTTTGTCGGAAAAACGAATCTTATGCATCAACTGAGATCAAGTCATGGCCATGAGAGTATACTGCCTCTTTTGACATGGCTTGACCGTTCTGATTCTGAAATTACCGTCCGGGCGAATCAGGTTTTTCCAGAACCGTAACCCGGATGAAAGCAGCTGACGGGTTTCATTAGGTCAAAAACTCTTTGTAAGGAGATGGCGGGGCATTCGAGGCAAATTGAAATTTCCGACAAATCTCTCTCACTCTCTCAGAAGTTCTTTGACAGAAGGAACGTCACGGTGGGGATGCAATTCCCGACACGAGATCGGTTCCAGTTCTCTCGGGGATTGGGATGCTGCCCGTCCGATCCGGCTGTCCCTTCCCGGGGCTGCCTTTTCCTGCAGTGCTTGCATCCACTCACTGGGCAGCTCACGTGTTAAATCGTGCGATCACGGCGAAGGGAATGACAAAGAGGGCCATGACTGAAAGGCACCGCAGCTGTGGCCACTCCTGTCTCCGGGTCTCAAGCGCCTTGATCGGACTACGGTGGAACATTCACCATCCCAACGAATGTCGAGTTCTGGAACCCCATCGTTTCTGTCACCGACTGTCCATCTCCCGCTCGGCACTGAGCGAGAATATGTCAGAAGCTCAGACAACGTCTGCTCTCGATCCATGGGTGCGCGGATAGGTGGGGTGGATTGATAGGCGAGTGCGTCTCCTCCCCGGTCGTGTCTCCTCCCCGGTCATGTTCCAGACGCACTGACTTCCGCGTCAGTCGGCCGCTCATGGCCCATGACAAAACATTCTGGACGATAATCTCGCATTTTAATTCCCATGGACAAGAACGATGATGATGTAGACTAAGCAGACACCCGAAATCAGCCTCACCGCCGCAAAGAGCCAGTTGCTGAGCGTGATGGCGTGGTATTTCATGCCCAGGGACTGGAAAATCGTAAAGATCGATGAGGCGGGCGTGTTGCCGCCGTAGCAAAGCGACTGATAGAGGGCCGCCGGCGAACCTGTTTTCTCTGAGCGCCCGTGCGGATCTTACAGCGTAAATGCGGAATCTCACCCCCGGTGACTCCTCTGCTTCCGAATCCAATAATAGCCAGTAGCAGCAAGAAGAAACCCTGGAAAAGGAGTACCGGAAGTAATAGTATTTGGGGGCCGAGAAATAGTCCAGCAGCAGCCGTGGTCAACCCGATGGGATGGCGAAGGACTGCGAGTGTTTAGTTCAATGATTTACGCCTCAGCCCTAGGACTGCATTTGGAGCACGCACTGTATTCGTTCGAGGCTGTGGCCGCTGCAGAGAGCCCCAGAATACATGCGGGCTTTGCTACCTCTGCAAGCCAATCCTCCGCTTTCCAGAACGACGCAGTCACGGCGGGCCATGCGACCTGTTCGATCCAAGAAAGGACGCGGGCAGGCACGTCTGCGATCCAGTGGATCACGGAGTTGAGTGCGGCCGACACGACGCAAGCCAGGGAAGTGATGGGATCTCCGATTTCTCGCTCGCAATGCACGACTGGGCGACGCAGTTCCTGAGTGTGTGCTCGAGCAGGGATGTCTGGAATGTGCGAACCTCGGCCGTTGATGGATGGGTGAAATTCAGCCGGGATGTACATGATAGTTCGAGAAAAAGAAGGACAAGCCTCATGTCGACCCATGCCTAGACGACCTGCATGCACACATTGCACGCCTGTTTCCTTCCTGCATTAGGTAATTACCGCGCGCCGAGAACGGAGACGCCCGAATGTGAGGACTCAGGGTGCGGGGGGAGGCACTGTGTGTCGAGCGTTTCCAATCCACGAGACACCACGCCCAGTTTCATTCCCATAGTACTGCGCTTGCGGCATAGCCTGTCAGAAGAACGAGGCTGATTGGCTGATGCGGAGAACTACAGGAAGAAAATCTGGTCGGTAATCCGGCGAAAAGGAAGGCCGAGGGCACAGAGGGTCTATTAGAGCCTGCGTAGAGTATCTCCCGAGACTTATATGCGCCGGGGCTGCACGACAGATCTGCAGATTAGGTTACTAACTGGAAGGCCAAGTTCATGCGGCTTTCGAGAATCAAGCCCAGGACAAAAGCCACGGATCTGGCGCCGCATTGGACTCCCAATCGGGAGATTTCGGGTGCCAATTGGAGTAAGATTTCAGGAGGTATTTCGGCAGGGCCCATCTTGCTTCTCGTTTTCCCCAGAACTTGCCGCACACGGCAGATAGCGCGCCAAGATATGTTGTGCGTCCAATTAGATCAGGTCAAATGGACCGAGAACACCGGTAAAGAGATGTCAGTATCCTATCATATGTACACTGAAGTGCGTCACTACTTTATATGTTGATATAGAACAAAAATGATCCAGAAATATCACGCGCAATAGCTTGCCTTTCATTCACTGAGAATTTTGGGGGCACGGCTTCGTTACCGGATAAATAAGCCATGGTATAACTAAGCACTCTATGAGTCATAACTCTCCAGTTCTCGAGATTGATGGAGTTTGTCAGCCTAATTTAAAGTGTGGCTGTCACCGGTACCCTAGCCTGTGGCACGTGATCGCGTTTGTACCGATAATGATCCGATTAAGTTTGGGAGGAAGCCGCAGCTTCACTTCTGTCTGAATCCAGTAAGCAGTTGTGTGACTGCACGGCCCGGCGCAGATGCTTGAAATCGTCCAACCTATCGGAGAATCATGACATATGCGAACCTGGGAGATGGCATTCCGCACGTGATCTTCACTGGCCGCCAGTACTGTGTTACAGACCACCGGCTACCGCATCGGTCTCCTACAGTGATCGATGAATGTCTCTTATCTTCGGCGATATAACCAGATCATTTTCTACATCCACCTGAGCTCTCGGAAACAGTTTGCAATTTTCCGCCCTTGGGGTTTCCTTTTTAGGATGGACCGTTTCGGGTCTTTCACCGACCGTGATTGATGGCAACACCGGCGACATATGTATGTATCTTGATTTTATTAACAATACCAAGGGCCTTGAGCGCCTGTACTTCTATAGAATCCCACAGTAGTAAATGGGACATGCTATTATATTGTTGAATGAGGTCTAGAAGTATTTCTATAGAAGTCCGCTGTAGTTAATGGAACATGGGGGGGATATGCTCGATTATACTGTTGAATGACGTCTAGAAGCTTCGTGATAGCATCTGGTGAAGCTCGCTCGGCTGTAATTGCATCTGCATCAGAAGGTAGCGGCGCTGGCACCTCATTCGACTCGGAGATCACCTTGGACTTCTTCTGTGTCCGTGCGTCGGGCTTCGCGTATTTACCGCTTGCTTGTCCGCCACTGTGCGCATCGGTCCTCTGCTTCGATCCATTCCTCCAGTTCAGCTACCGTGCCCCAGCACAATGTGTATTGCCCCGATGCAACATCAGCTTCATATGAGCCATACTTCACTGTTGGATTGCCCGTCTGGAACTTGAAGATCTCCACGGAACGCCCATTGGATGATGCATGAGTTGCGTCATGGGGATTTTGAGAGCTGAGGGCGGCTGAGGGTGCAGGCGTCACAAGAGAGGGCGGATCAAATGCACTGAATACAAATTGAGACATCGGGGAACTGGTTCAGGTTGCGGAGAGGGATGAGAGGAGGAGAGGAAGAGCAGAAATAAAGACAATGAGATCTAGTACACATTATCGAGCGTGTATTGTTCATTAAATCCAACAAATTCACTCGATTTCACTCCGTCAAAGCTCCCCGGATCACCGGGATCACGTGCAGAAGACCCGACCCAAAACGGAAACCCCAAGGGCGGAAAGTCAAAAACTCTCGGAAACTCATCCGAGGACGGCAAGAAATTTATAGAGCTCGCATTGTAAATGATTGTCTGTATTGTTTGTCTCCGCCGCATAGCAATTTGTTCTGACAAGCGAAGGTTAATCCATCTGTCCGTGGAAGAGGAAGACTGGGACCTTGTGGTACGTCACCAGCTAGCGTGGCTCTACCCTGGTTCTCATCCCCTTTGCAGCCGGTGGCTTCCACGTTTCGAGCATCTCCGCACTCTAGCCGTTGACCCCGTCCATGCCCCTAGACAAGTATGCGATCTAACGGGCCTGTCGCCATGTGCTGCCGACCGCTTGAGCACGCAGCCTTGTCGCACGATCGACGAGTATTTAGCGAGGACATTCTTGAAGGATCATGCCCAAGTTGGAATGTATCTCGCTCACTCTGCGGCAGCTGTCCGAGCCCGCCAGACAGTTGGGCCACGTGAGATATATCCGGGTACGATTCTGCAAGCGAATGAGCTCGTTTATTTCTAGCAGATGTTGCCCCATGGCTGTGCTTGGTCAATGCGCGCGACAATTTCGATAAATAGCTTGACATACTAGAGCTCTCTCAGTTCGTAAGCAGCATTTGTTCGCCAGGTTACATTCAAGATTGAAATACATGTTCTGGGCATCCCAAAGATGTGCACCTAGAGTCTGATTTTGATTTCTATTTCGAGCTCGAGTTCTGCGTGAAGTTGAACCAATTAGCTCGATACCCTGAGTCAAAAACCCGGTTCGAAATGATCCGGAGGTCGCCGCATAGCACCAGCGAGCAGCGCGCGGTAGCGTCTCGTTAAGGGAGCATAAAAACGTAATTAGAAGGCTTGAAACATGGTTGGTACTCCAAGTACATGGACATGAAGATACCTCCGTCAGTCACGTGCTTCCCGTTTCTTTTCGATTGTTTTCAAACCGCAAAAGAAAATGAGTTAACAAGTGAATCGCATTATGTCCTGCATGCCCAGAAAATTCAGAAACGTTGATTTCACGGCCTCTGTCGCAATACCGGAGCTCCCATCAAGACCGCATGAAGCAGAGATGTCGCTTACATCTTGTCGAAGCCTTTACTAAACATGGACGATGATCAAACTCTCATGAACCATATGAGGAAGTGGTTTGATGCAGCTCATCCGGAGACACATAACCCGGCCGCTGGTCCCCCTTGGTTACTTGATTCTGCCTGATGGCTCCCCCGGTAAAGCATCTACAAAAGAACAACCGGGTTACCTCCGAGAAATTCACATCACCTTCGGACTTTCAGGTGCATTTTCTAAAATGTGGGGAATCCGACTGAGAACTTTGCATATGAATACTTCATCATTTGCCTAGCTTTATTCCTGGAGCCGCTCAGAAGATTTCGAAACAATTTTCAATCTTGCGGAAAGTCAGCATTGATCGAACGGCTCTTTTAGCGCTCCTCAAACAAAAAGGCGTATAGTCTGGTATCAAGAATCCCAGCGACGTTTTTCTCCATCTTTTAAGCAGGAAGTCAACCGAATTATCTACACAGAGGACCATGTATGGACAGTTCAAATGAAATTTCAAATCGTTTAGTAAATAGCGCCACTGTTAATCTTATGTCCCAGTCGTACGAGCCATGAGGATAGTTCCATTGCCGGGCCCTCCCTGACGCCGGAACTCGATGACATGATCAAGAAGAGATGCTGGTTGACGTCACGGTTGGACCCTGTGTCCCCGAAATATACTGACACGAACGACAAAGAACCACAACTGTCGTTATGAATCCGGTCTCGTCCCAGAAGCAGAGCTAGAACAATCAGAGCGGAACTTGCCCCCTATGGCCATCTCGACATCACATTGCAGATCCAATAGCAAACTCTGCAGCGGCAGAATCATGACCAGATCCGTCCCAAAACGGATTTGTTTCTCAAGTACCTGATTAGAGGGACAAGAAAATCAGCCCGCGTTCAGTTGCGTAAATCCCGGACAGCCCATCAGCCGGAGAGATTCTTGCAGCGAAAAGAAAATAATTCACGTGCTGTTTCACAATCTGAATCAGTAATGTGGGGGAGCCAGTGAGGATGCACAGCACAGTCAATCACAGCAGCGAGTGCGCTAGCGGTCAACAATGTGACTGGGGCTGTAATGACGCCGCAATGTGCTATGTGCTGTCCGCCATCTCTCGTAGAGCACGTGGTCGGATACGTCCCATGTGTTGTGCAACTCGACGGTGTACGGCAGGCTCGCCACTTACAGAGCCCAGAACTTGAAATTTCACGGCAGCACATCTTTTTGGGCTCCAAAAGCATCAAGAGCGATCTAGTCTTGACAGATTGAGGTGAATATGGGGATCGCCCTGGACTCGGATCAGAGCCACGATAAGACAAAAGCATGCCTCAGAGCACTTGTACTTGTCGGGATGTACCCAAGTTCTGCTTCGCGATTCCGATCTCATGGCTTCTTTCTCGCGCATGTGCTCGTTGAGAAGCGCGAGGCCGGTGGCGTCCTGAAACCGAACTTGAATGGTCATGCCTGTTTAGCCAGCGGTGTGCGGTACTATTCGAGTCTGGTCGTTTTCAGGGAGTATCTGGGAGCTGGGAATAATCTTGCATATTGGGGGAAGATATGGAGTGCAGGCAGAGCAATTGCAGCAAGTTGTGTCCAATCTGAAGACCATCGGATGCTGTGCGGTCGTTCTGCTCGAGTAGTCGTTCTTGTGCATCGCATGGTCGAAGACATCAACCCGGCCGACTTGAAAAGTGAAAAGGAGTCCCCCATGAGAAATTTGCTCCAAGCAGAGACGGAGGCATGGTTCAGCGTCATGGGCGTAGGGAACATCAAGTAAATTGATCGCATCACTACTCGCTTCTGCTAGTGCGATGACGGCACTACGTATCGGGGTCGACGTAGGAGGAACGAACACCGACGGCGTGCTCCTCGACGCGTCCGCCCGCTCACAGCCCGACCGCGGTATCCTTGCCTGGCACAAAACGCCTACGACGCCCGACCCCAGCACGGGCATCGAAACCGTAATCAAAGCGCTTCTGCGCAAAGCTACGCTCAACTCTGACTCATCGCGCGTCGTTAGTGTCACGATTGGAACGACACAGTGAGCTGTGGACGACCATCCGCGCGCGCAGCGATCTGAATGTGGATTTCTCGACGCTCTGCAGTTTCGTCAATGCGGTAGTAGAGAAGGATCGCAATCGGCTAGCGCCCGTCGCGGTGATCCGCCTTTGTGGGCCGTTTTCGCGGGACGTCTATCCCGGTATCGACTGGCCTGAAGATCTTCGAGATATTATATGCGGTCATCTAGGCTGCGTAGATGGCGGATTGGAGGTGGACGGCACAGTGATCAGAGATATCAACGAAGCGCAAGTCGTCGATCAGTGCGCGGCGATCCGAACCAAAGGAATCAAGTCCATTGTCGTCAACGGCGTATTCTCTCCGTCTGATTTTGTGGAGCGACAGGAGGAGCGCGTGGCAGAGTGGATAAGGAGCTGTTATCCAGAGGCGAGCGTCGTCATCTCGAAAGAAGGTGCCGTTCCCTTTCTTATCTACCACTTCGACGAACTATGCTGATCATAAGTGTCTAGTCGCGAATCTGGGCTTCATCGAACGAGAGAATGCGGCCATATTGAACGCATCTATCCTCCCATTTGCACGCACTACCATCCGCGCTTTCGAATGTGCCATCTCCCGCCTTGCTTTACAATGCCCGTTGTTTCTGACTCAGAACGACGGCACGATTGTCCCCGCGAGAGTCGCTGCCAGACTTCCGATCCGCACCTTTTCGAGCGGTCCGACGAACTCGATGTGCGGGGCTGCCTTCCTAGTGCAAGGTCAAGCAATCGAGCAAAGCATGCTCGTCGTGGACATAGGTTCGCCCCAGTCTCCCTCTTCTCGTCGCCAGCTGGCGGCTGATTTCCTTTGAGGTGGAACTACTACAGATGTGGGAATGCTTCTACCCAGTGGACTGCCGAGGCAAGCGTCTGCGGTCACCCAAATCTCCGGCGTTCGTATGAATTTTTCTTGTCCCGACGTTCAGAGTATCGGCCTCGGCGGAGGATCGATTGTTCGCCAGGTCGAAGGAAGAACGTCGGTGGGACCGGACTCTGTCGGGCATCGCATCGGCACCGAGGCGCTTGTATTCGGGGGCAATGTTGCCACTGCCACCGACTTCGCGGTCACCGCTTCTGGACTCGAGGGCATCGGTAACGCGGATTTGTTGCCTGATTCCGTCAAAAAGGGATCCCCGGCCTATTCGCAAGTTGTGAAGCAAATGCTCGAACGGGCCATCGACAGCATGAAAACGACAGATGCCGATCTACCTGTTCTCCTTGTCGGCGGCGGGGCTGTTCTTGCTCCTGCAGAGCTTCGCGGTGCCAGCAAAGTCTTCAAGCCCGAATACTCTGGCGTGGCGAATGCGATCGGTGCCGGTCGGTGGAAGATCCAGTTGTGATTGAAAGTGGCTCATTCTAGCTCCAGCCATCGCAAGGGTCTCCGGGACTGTCGATACTATGGTCAGCACTGCGAACCGCACGACCCAAGACGCACTGGACGACATCTCGAAGATGGCCGTCGAGAAAGCTGTCCAGAACGGCGCGGCGCGAGAGACTATTGCGATCGCTGAGATGGACGCTATCCCTCTCCAGGTGCGCCTTTAGCAAGATTCACGCAATAGATTCATGACAATACAATCAGTACATCGCTAATAAAGCCCGCGTGATCGTGAAAGCAGTGGGCGACTTTGACTTTGCCAAATCCCACCCAGCCCGTCTCGGATCAGACGACATGGACGATGAAGAACATCACGAGACCGTCGTAATCGACAAATGGCCTTCGAAAGCAACAAGATCCAGCACGCCAGACTTAGACATCTCGACTTACAGACCTCGCATCACGCCCCAACGGGAGTGGATGGTGTCCGAGATCGATCTGGAGTGGATATCGACCGGATGTTACATCCTCGGGACTGGGGGTGGTGGTACTCCGTATCCCCACTTTATTCGGCTACGCGAGATGCTTCGGAACGGCGCCGTGGTGCGTGTCATATCGCCTACGGACCTGGCGGACACTGCGATGGTCGCCTGCGGTGGAGGAAAAGGTTCGCCGACGGTTGGGATCGAGAAGCTGCCTGCGGACGAGTGAGTATCATGTCGTTCTTCCGTCTGCGATTTGACCGGCGTTGCAGGCAGATGGAAGCACAGCGTATGGTGTACCGGCATCTGGGAACGCACCCGGATGCTGTGATCGCGTTGGAGATCGGTGGCGGGAACGGATTGCAAGGTGTGTGGGTTGGATTCGATCCCTCCAGCTGTCCGATCCAACGCCACTCGAGGGATGCTGCTCGGAGCTTCTTCCAACTTGAATGTTCCGACGGTCGACGGTGATTGGATGGGGCGTGCTTATCCTGTCTCGTGGCAAATTACGCCGGTGGTGATTGGTGGCGATCAGGCGCAGTTCTTGCCTACGGCCATCGCGGATGGCAACGGCAACAACATGGTGCGTGACGGCGCTGTTAGACTTTGGTGAGATGAACTGACAGACTGCTTGAAGATTCTGCTGTCAGGAACATCGGAAAAGCAAATCGAACGCATCTTTCGTGCCGCGCTGTCTGAAATGGGCAGCCATGTGGGATGTGCGAAGGGTCCATGCACGGGGCTAAACACGAAACGCTTCGTCGTGGAAAACACCATCTCTCTGGCGTGGCGCATTGGCCGAGCTGTCGCTCTCTGCCGGAGCAAAAACCAGACGGATTCCGTGGCCGAGGCGATCATCGAGCAAGTGGGCGGATCTGACTCGGCCAAGGTATTGTTCAAAGGCAAGATTGTCTCTGTGGAACGCAAGACCGTCCATGGCCACGTCTACGGCGAAGTCGTCATCAGCGCCGCCGACGTCAGCGGCAGCGGCCCGGGCGCTTCCGCCCAGCCCCAATTCAGTGGCTCGCTCAAGATCCCGTTCAAGAACGAGAATATCCTGGCACTGGCGGATGACGACACGGTGGTGGCGAGCGTGCCGGATTTGATCTGTGTCTGCGATGCAGCCAGCGGAGAAGCTATCGGGACACCTGAGTATCGGTACGGGCTGCTCGTCGTCGTCATCGGTATCGCTGGTTCGGAGAAGTGGACGTCGACTGCGCGAGGGCTCGAGATTGGCGGCCCGAGGGCGTTTGGATTCGATGTCGATTATAAGCCGTTGGGTGTATTCAGGAGACCGCGGAGTGTTATAGATGAGTTTATCTAGTTGTACTCGGATTTGATCTCCAGCGTTGTAGTAGTTAGCAGCAGTAGTGCTTTTCGCTGCTGAAATGAATCGGGACCGGAGGAATCGGACCCTCCAGTTTCAACCCGCATCGATATATGGTGATAAGGCGACTGGACCTTGAAAATCTCGGCACTGATATTGAATAGGCTGAATAATTCTGTCAATGAGTATATGCCAACTTGCTCTGATCTTCGAGTAGCCTGTCCAAGGCAAAGACACGGTTGGCAGGTGGCTGTCCACATCTCTTGCCTGCAACTGGACATAGACTAAACGAGCATCCTTAGCGCGCTACTCCGTTCCTCCATCCTCCCCAGCCAAGACGGTTCCGAGATCTAGGTCGGCCCATATCCCAAAGCAACAACCAATGTTTATTAGGCTCTCCTTTGTACTTGATCGGTGAAGGGCACTGAATGTGGCCCATACTCTGCGACGATTACCACCACCGCCAACACCAGCACGCAGCGCTCAGAGGGAGAGGGAGATGCAGCTCGAGCGATACATACTGCTGCCTCTTCTTCTCGAAACTGGAAGTCCCGCAGAATTACTCGAACACTCCTCGCCTGCAACCAGTCAGACCGCGCAACACATCCTGGACACTAGGCCGCACGAGTGGCGTGATGATTCGCCCTATCGAGGGCCCTTGTTTCAGGGAGCGACGCAACAACAGCTATCATCGTCTAGCGAAGCGCGTCTCCGTTCTCGCGTCACCGAATCTGCGTCTATGGATTTACACACCCGGTGTCCGCCTCCTCCCTGGACTGCACTCCCGAGACAAGCAATACATAATCACAGATGGCAAACATGAAAGCGGTGGGGGACAACATAAGCACAAACACTGACTGACTACCTACGAGCAGGCGGAGCCTACTACCCTGTATCACCGTCCTTGGCGCCGTTTATAGACGCCGCCGCCGCCGATCCGAACTTCAGCTTCATCTTCTTCGCTGCAGGCGGATCGTCCGTCTTCAGGAGCGCTTTCTTGCTCAGCCGCTCCAGCATCTCGTCCTCCTCCTCCTCCTCCGGCCGCCGGCGTTTCTCGCCCAGCCGCGGCCCGGCGTTGCCGCGCACGAGGGCTTCAAGCATGTTGTCCTCGTCGTCCTCATCATCCTGGTCGATGGGCCGTTTGGGCGACGGCCCGGGCACAAGCTCGTCGTCGTCGTCCTCTCCGTAGTCCATCAGCGATCCCAACGACGGCGACGGCGACGGTGAGCGAGGCACGACGCTGCTGCTCGCCCGTTTGCGCTTGAGCCCTCCGCGCACGACTTGGTGCTGGCTGATCGGGGGGATGTAGGCGTCCTCGTCGTCGTCTGCGTTGAAGTAGTCCTCTTCCTCCGTGTCCTGGGCACGTACAGCACTGGGCCATCGTGGTTCCGCCGGCCTGCAACGCAGTGAGATCAAGAAGCACCGCGATCAACAAAGGAACCCACTTTTCGACGGGCGTGCCTTCTGGCGGTGGCGGTTCATTGTTCATCTCCCACCGCTGGATGAATTGCTGGAAGCACGACCCTGCCAGAGCCGTGTTCGCAAGCTGTCTAATCTCCGCTTCGTGATGCACCATGCAAAACTTGATCATGTCCTTCATGTTGTCCTAATCGCACACCGTCAGTCTAGGCATCACCCGTATGACTAAATAGATGTACACACTTTTCTGATGCAGTCGAAGTAGTCCAGACACGTCCCACTTATGAGGTTGTCTCTCCGCGATTCCCGGAGCGTCAGGTCGAGAATCGGCTTGAACGCATCGTGCCTCATCACCTGAACGTGCAGATTTGCATTTTTCAGCCTCAGCAATAATCGGAAGATCCGACAGACAGCTGGAAGGGAAGAAAGCGAATAAGCAACAGCTCCTTGCGCGCAGCACCCACGCACCATGCTGTAAATGCTTGTCTCGCGCTCGAAGCAACGTGGGGATGCGCGCCAGTATCTGAGACGACGCGACGTAAAAATAGGCGCGAAAGTTGTGCTGCGAGATAAAGTTGTGCAGCAGATCAGCCAGGTACGTAAAGCGATTCGTCTCTTCGCGGGTGAGGAGGAAAATCGGATCTGCATGGAGTTGGGAAAGAGAACGAAAGACATATAGACAACAAATGACCAACCTGAGACGGTTTTCCATTCTGGTAGCTCGATCATCGGTTTGAAAAGGATGGCGATGCAGTCTCGGTAAAAGTAATCCATGAATCGCTCCGTACCAGGCTCGTCCCGCCGCTGATTGCGGATACCGCCAGGCTGCAAAACATCAGCACTGGGCACGAGCAGCGACGAACAACGCGCACCGCAGCCTCCGAAGGCCCCTGAGCACCCGCCTCTCCCGGTGGGGGAATGTCCATGAACACTTTCAGAGCGTCTCCCAGCTGACTCTGGACAGCAAAGTTCTTGTTCCGCGCAACGAGTCGGCATACAAGCTCAACGAGCGTCTCAGCTTTATCCGCACCGCGTTTCTTCGCCTCCCGCTCCTTGTCAATGGCCAGAACCTGCTTGAGCACGTGCCCCCGCACGCCGAATGCGTCGTGGTCGAGCAGAGCGGCGAGCACCTCGCCGCCCGCACCGACAACCGGCAACGCGTCGCTCTCAGATTCGAGCCCCAGCGCCCACTGTACAGCAAACAGAATCCCCCGGTCGACCAGAGTCCGGAACAGCGCCATGCGTGCTGGCAGCTGGACGTTCTTGCCCATCGCGCACAGCTGCTGCAGCAGAAACACGACTTGGCGGCGGAGCATGAGGTCCCCCGGCGACAGATTTTCTGGAGGTGCAAAGGCGTACGATCCCCCGTGCTGAGATTGCGCTCCGTTCCTGCCCGCTAGCATTTCCTCGTCGACATACAGCCGGACGACCTCGCGCAGGAACGAGGCGTCTTGTTGCATGTGTGTGATGATGTCGATCTGGTTGAAGATGATGCACGAGTTGAGCACATTAAAGGTCGAGTCGTCTAGTGCTCGTGCGAGCACGACGTCCTTGAGAAACTGTAGTCGATACGTGTAATGGATCTTGCGCTGCATGGCGGGATCCTTGATGGGAATGGGTTCGTGAAATTGGGACGTCTGTTTCAGAAACTCTCGATAGTTGGCACGGTGGTTCGGAAAGTCAGGGTCATATTCTAACATCCCGACGATGTCAGTAAAGTGCTCATCAGCGAGAATGTATTCATAGAGGTTGTGATCGTTGAGGTTGACTAGTAAAGGATGAGGCACGATAGGCAATGACCAGCATCACCAGTAACTCACGGATAGCTTGTGTGACTGAACACAAAGTGTGAAGATCACGGACGCTCTCGAGATCCTCGGCCTCGCGAAACACGCTAATCAGTTTTTTGAAGTAATCCTACGCCAAAAAGTCAGATCACAGGAAGCGAACTCGCTGCGCAAGATCTCTTACCTCGCGCATGATGTAATCAGCCAAAAAGTCTTTCAATTGGCTTTGTCTAGAAAGGCCTTTGATGATCCGCTCAATGTCTGCGAGAGTACCCAGTTCAGGCGTGGGAAGTTCGCTGCTGCTGCGCTGGCTGGGACCTGGCTCGAGCGTGGTTGCTGGCTCCTCAGCGGTCGAGAGATGGTGTTGAACTTCGCAGATGAAATTCCACACTTCAGCGCAGCCTTCGGGATCTTGAAAACTGAGCGCGTAGTCAGCCCCATTTGGTTCCGTCCACACGATGAGCGTGTCTGTTTCTCATGAGTCGGTGGCATGCAGCTTCATCATCGGCCGCAACGCACCTTGTTGCCGCTGATAAACGTCCGTGCTGCGTATGGGTGTGGACAGAATAACTTCGTTGTAGTTCCTCTCGGACCGTGCAATCAAATGAGCCGTGTCCGAGTCCTCTGAGATCTGCCCGAAGCAGAACGCCGTGCCCTGATCAACCCAACGCTGGCCAACAAGCTCGTACACCTGGTGGCAACAGCAACACAGCCGGATTGAGCTCGCGGCGCGGCACGCGGCACTGGTACGCACCTTGACGCGTTTCATCTCCTGCTCCTGCGGATCCTGGTACCACTCCTGTGCCTCGTCCGCCTGTCCACCCACCGTCTCGAGCATCAGGTCGTCGCCATTCAGGTCGCTCGTGTGCACAGTCAGCAGCCCGTCCTCATCGCCCTCTCGGGCCACCCGATCCAGCGTCGTTTCCTCGGGAGACACGGTATCAGTGAGCGCGACGTTGCCGGCAGGAATGAGCACATCATCGTCCGGAGGCGGAGGAGAAGAAGAAGGGAGCGTGGGGTCTGATTCGGATTCGACGGCGGGACCAGCAGCGCCGTCTCCGTGCAAGCGGGGTAGGGGTGGTGTCTCCGCAGGGTCGGCTGACCCATTCATGACCGCGGCGAAGAAAGCAAAAGGTTGGACCGGCCGTGAAGGGAGCAGAATCAGATCACGATGACAGAAGGGCTCCAACTTCGCGTGTCGGTCCGTAAGAAGGGAAATTTCGGACACAACAGGTGTCAACAAACGCTATCGTGCCCAAACGGGACGGTGATGTCAGTCAGTCAGGTCCCTTCCGACGATCATGAGTGTTCCCAAGGCGGTTGTCGTTCCGGCCACCACGCAGCACACGGCCACGGTCATTTTCGCGCATGTAAACGGCCAACTCGGACGACGTTGAAATCGCTCTGACGATGTACGGAAGGGATTGGGAGACACGGGATTCGGATGGTTAATATTGGCAGAGACATTGAAAGACGCGATGCCGCATGTGAAGTGGATATTCCCCCATAGGTAGAGGTGCACTTTTTCCGTTCTTTCCCCAGCTTCCGAGATCTTGTTTGCAGTCCGAGAAGGCCAGTGACGGCAAACGGCGGAATGCTAATGCCTGCGTGGTGGGTTAGGTTCACATTTCATGGCCGTTTTCTCATTGTAAATCCCCCAATCACACAGGTTTGATATCAAATCTTGGTCAAGTGAGGATGAAGACGAAGCAGGGATACTTAGAGCCTCCGAGTCCCTCAAGAGTCTCATCTCGGCCGAAATTGAATCCGGAATACCCTCTGAACGGATCGTAATCGGAGGATTCTCGCAGGGCGGAGTCCTGGCTCTTGTATCTGGACTCTCGGAGGCTCGCAGACTTGCTGGAATGCTTATACTGAGCGCATTCATTCCCTTGCGCTTCAGTCTTCGTGAGGTGCGTGACAATTGTTCTTCCTCCAGTGCTCCAGGGGTAAATCGGTCCTTAGAGATTATCCATCCACGCCTCCAGCCTGCCCATATTCTGGGGCCACGGTGCAGCCGACTCGGTAATCCCAATCGAGGCGGCTCGACGATCTGTCGCGTATTTGTCGGAGATCATGGCTATTTCTGTCGTTGAGGGCCAAGCCAAGGATAAAACGCTGCTGTCATTCAAAGAGTATACAGGACTGGGTCACTCTCTGAATGACCAGGAACTCTCAGACGTCGGACAATGGCTTCGACAACTTGTGTACTGATTGGTCTATATCCGTGCATCGCCCAGACATGTGCTTATCCGCATTGCATCATCCCAGTGTGGCAGATGGCGAGTTTCCAGGAAAGGCACGGCGCCAGCAAGAGCCGCAGCTCGGCCCCGGAATCTTTGACAGGAAGCGTGCCAACGGTGCGTGTGTTATGACCGTGAGACTCGCACACCGGCGTAGGAACGGTCAAACTGTTCGAAGGCTTGTCGAAAAATACGCGAGGCACCGCGATTCTTCTGAAGGAAATGCCAATAGGCTGACGACATTCGCTACGATTTCCCTCATCACAGGCAGAGATGCCCTGAAGTCACTCGGCTTGACTGCCAATCTACTTCTCCAACCCAGGAGGTCCTGACCATGGCAAACTCGACACGACGATCAGGGACTCGGTAATCCAAGACGACTTGGGTCATGGTTGAGAAATTGTGAACGCGATTGTAAGCGGCCACTGAGGACCGGCAGAATGTCCTTATTCGAAGGTGTTACATACCAATACAAGTGGGGGGTAATCTAAAGACACGACATGGATGAAATATATGATAGGATCTAGATGACAAAATCAGCCCAAGGACGTGGCTCGAGAAGAACGCCGATGTCGTAGCGAGGGATGGCCCCCCGTCGAACCATACTCCCCATCCAGATCAATGCGCCGAAAATACACATCCATGTCCCCAGCATCGAATTCCGACGTAGACAGCTCTTCACCTGGCGCAGGCGTTTCCCCCTCTACCTCGGCAGCATCCGGAGCCCGAGCCTTGCTGGTCCCGCCACCGATCCGGTACGTTCGGCGTCGTTTACCCTTGCGAGCGACAGCCGTGCCCACCGCCGGGGGTCGTGGCGGGCCGCTGCGGACCGCGTAGTGGGAAAGGGACCTGGTGTAGGGCGATAAGGTGTGATTGGAATGTGCGAGCATCGAGAGCTCGTGCACGATGTTGGCGCCCAGGGACTGGGGCTCAGTCAGTTCGTGATAGATGGACGTGGAAGATGGCGGTGTCGACAAGGAATGAGAAGGAGACGGGGACGTCGATCGGGACGAACTGGGTGACGGAGCCGAGGCAAAGGCAGCAGAGAAGGGATTGTACGAGAGTTCGGTTTGTGCAGAGAAGACTGCCGCGGTGGAATGTGAAGAAACGTTTGGAGGAGACTGCGAATGGATGACACGAGGCCGGACAATTGTACCGCCGCCAACCGCTGGCATGCGCTCATACTCCTGCTCATGGGCCTCCGCAACACTGGGGCTCATCCCACCCCAGTCGAGCACGTCATACGTCGTGTCCAAGTCTTCCGAGAGACCCGCCGATTCGTCGTCGAGTTCCTCCAGATCAGCGAGGCCCCGTGACGGGGAAAAAAGGCTCTGGAAGCCACGGAAGGCACTTTTCGCCGGGATTCCTTCCGGACGGAGGCCGTACGTAGGATCGAACACATCAGGATCGATGAGCAGCGGTGCTGGCGGCGGCGTGGATGTGCGCCGCGGAAGCGAGGATCGTGTTGTTCGCCGCGTGAGCTGAGTACGGCTGATGGAAGGCGATGGGGTCCGAGGTAGAGGTAACGAGGCAGAGTTTAACATGTGCACGTTTTGTCGCGTTAGGCTGGGTGGTGCGCTGTGATGCCCAACGTGCGGCCGGGGAGGCGGAATCTCCACTTTCGCTTTGACCCATTGCTGGCTGAGACGGTGGATGATACCGGGCAGGTCCTCTCGAAACATTTGGCGCAGCTGGCCTTCAATTTCGCGCTGGATGAATTTTTGAATCACAGCGATAGAATCAAAGGTGCTATTGATGTCCACACTCTGGAGCGGGTCGGTTTTGAAGACGATGGTGATGCCCTTTTGCTTCGAGACGACCAGCACAACATACGAGCTGAGTTTGAAGTGCGATAGGCGGAGCAGCATGGGCACCACCAGCGCCTCCTTCGCAGCGAGCATCCCTCGAGAGCCAGTCATGAAGTCAATGTCGGGATGCTTGTGGTTGAGTGGATTGGCTTGGACTTTGGTTCGCAGAACCAAATGCGCATCTCCGGCGTAGGTGAGCCTAAATATTCCACGAAACTGGTCCATCGTCAAGTCCCCGATATCCCGGATTTCAAGCTCAGGCGGCTGCGGTCCTCTGAGCAAAAAGTAACTCTGCGCGGGTCGAGTGAGCGCACCTGGGTTCCCATTTCCAACTCCACTACCTCAATCTTGTCGGCGATAATCGGAGGTTTGTTTCCCTTGTTGAGCGCGGTATTGAGCATCTGGATAGCATCGTAGTGGAACTGGTCTGAGAATCGTGGCCAGTGGAAGGTAAAGGACATGACAGGTTCATCTTCCTCTCGGGGAGGAACTCGCCGGAGATGTATTGGATCGAGCCAGGCAGCCAGGTAACCTTCCGTGCCGAGTCCTGATGGGGCAACAAATTGCTTCAACAGTCGTAAACGAAAAATTTGACATGACTCCTATCTCGCGTTTCCCTTTCATATCGCAACGGTTCGTATCAGATGGCGGGGAAAGGACTCTTGTTGAAAGCGGATCCCATCGCGGACACCTTTCGCGATGAGGTCAAGACTGCTCTCGACAGGACGACGCGTAAACCGCGACTTGTCGGGATCTTGGCTACGTCCTCGGCGCCCAGCAAGTTCTACGCCGAGTTCACAAAAAAGCAATGCGAAGATCTGGGCTTTGATTTCGTCTTGAAACGGACTGGTGCGGCTTTCTCAGAGGAGGCAGGAGAAGGGGAGGGCGTCGAGGAGGCTATCATCGAGGCCAACGAAGATCCGAACGTCGACGGGATCATGGTGTGTATGTGGGCTAAACCAACGCGATCGCTCTTCCATTTCGCGTGAAGGTCTACTACCCCATCTTTGGACCTCAACAAGTGAGTGATATCAGACCTGTGCGCGTAGAACTTCTTTACTGACGTCGCACAGGACCACTACCTCCAACAGGCGCGTTATCGCGTCGATCTAGCGGCTTGCGCTCATGCCGTATCCAGGTGGTCTCTCCATACAAGGATGTTGAGGGGCTTCACTTCAAGTTCCACTATAACCTGTACCATAAGTGAGCTTTCCAGCCTCCAATGTCATCCTCTCCTCATGCGAAGATCAGCATCCGCTTCCTTGAGCCAGAATCTTTGCTCAAGTCTGGCCTCCCAACTGCCGTTGCTGTAATCGAGGGCGAGAACCCGCCACCAGGAACTGTCAAATCGATTCTTCCCTGCACGCCACTCGCTATCGTCAAGTGTTTGGAGCACATCGGCGTGTACAACAAGATCTTGCCCTACGGCGATCGAGCCTATGGCCGCACCGTGACCGTCATCAACCGGTGAGCGTTAATATCTAGCCTCAGCCACTGTGCTAAGAGAGCTTCCAGTTCAGAAGTGGTTGGACGACCGCTTGCGGCGTTGCTTGCGAATGACGGCGCTCGCGTGTTCTCGGTAGACATTGACTCCATCCAAGTACACGCAAGGCTCATTCTGGCTTTGCATGTTTTGACGCCCCGATCAGGAATACACGAAACGCCCGCAAGTGAACGGGCAATCGGACGCCGCCAGAAAATACCACCCACACCACGTGGTACATCCCTCGAATAACACCCTCCAAGAGTGCCTCGCGATATCCGACGTGGTGATCTCCGCCGTGCCGAGCGCATCGTACAAAGTCGCAACGGATTGGCTCAAGGACGGGTGCATCTGTGTCAACGTCGCTGCGGATAAGAATTTCGAGAAAAATGTCCGCGACAAGGTCAGCATCTACCACGTTCCGTACGACTTGCGTGTTGATCCTCCACCCCCTGACAGGCCTCGATGTATATTCCTGCTGTAGGCAAAGTGACGATCTTGATGTTACTGCGCAATCTGTAAGCTGGGCTCGCTTTCGGTGTCTGACCGCTGACTTCTGCCTCTAGATTGCGATTGCAACAGTACAAGACCAATGTGTAGACTGTGAAAAACCCAGTTTGTATGAACATCGCCTCCAGTCTTGGCGTATACTCCAGCTTTGGCTGGTGGCTGAAGTCTAGTACCCAACTTCGAACGCACCAGAGACCTCCCGATCTCCGATGCAATATCGTTGGGCCCCTGCGACCACGGATTCTGTCGAACAAGATCCCACAGTCCACGCATAGGCTACATCGTTGACCAAAGTAAGGATGCACCACCGAAGAGGGCCGGCTCTCTTTGTGCTGCCACCATGCGCAGAGCGGGAGATGTCGGATGATTTTGACTTGGATTCTCAACGTCCTATTCGAGGAAACGGAGAGCCAAATCCGACGCGTGTGCGACGTCGTTTACCGACAAGTCCGCTCATCTAGTCAACATTAATTACGAGGCTTCTGGTCGGGAAAACACGCAGTAAGCGATGGATGAGATAGACAAATGGCATCTTACAGTCTACGCAACATAGCCGACTGTTTAGATCCGCTACGTCAGCACCAGTTAATAAAGTCCATTATGATTGCTCTAATTACTGTGTTGTTACAAAGATGATGTTGCCCCGAATAGTGGCCATGCAGGATACTACTGGAAGTTTGCCGCAGTTATATCTTTGAAGTTGACTCCCAGGGGAGTCGAAGGCCGGGATGCGGTGAGTGGGGTGGCCATTCCAGAAGCTTCGTCCTGCAGGAAGCGAACTCGTTGACGATGTAACTGTCCAGACGTGAGCTTGTGGCGTATGTATACGACCAGGGGCGCCACGCACCTGCGGCAGCTTGGGAATTAGCACGAATATCAGAGCAGAGACGTTGATAGCGAATAGCCAGGGATTGTAGTTCGTGTAATGCGTCGATGCGAGGAAGCTAAAAATAGCGGGGTGAGCCCTCCGGCCTGGAATCACGCGTGGGCACACTCACAGCACAACGGGTACGGTGGAGAGCCACTTTTTCGCAGGTGTGTATTGGGCCCCGTCGTCGATCTGCTCCCATAATGTCAAGTCATCGTACGCTCCGGCGTGCAGGTCATTGCCGAATGGTATGCCGGTCACCCAGTGGAACATCAGATATGAGAGCTGGGGAAATCTTTTGAGTGATAGACGTGTAAGGGAACAGGTGGACACGCACTGCGAGATAGATGAGATTAACGAGTGTCCAACTGATTTGCTGTGTCATGCCAGGAATCGTCTGAATGATCATTTTCCCAATGGCTATGAGCACGATATGAATGAGCCATGCTCCTGGAAGCACTGTCAGCCGCCGCCGCCGAGTCGTTGTCGTAGAGACAGGGTCCACCTTTAGCATTGACCCAGTTCGCATTGATATTGACATAGGCGCTCTGATCCAGAGCTTCTTCCAACGACCCATCCCCCACCTGCTCCACCTTGACGATACTCGCACTTCGGGGACGTGTCCGCATTGATGTCGGCTTCGCTGCGTCGACAGCGAGTGCTGGGAGCTGTACTGCCGCTGGTCGGTGCATTGCGGGAGAATTTGGTCCGCAGCTACGTGCGTGTTCTTAAAAAGGTAGGTGGTCGTGTGACGGACATGTGACGCCGCTTCGTCACGGCCCTGGTTTGGTAGTGAGGCGGGTCATTTCATCTGGATAAGCTCTGCCCACTGCTACGGCCAGCCCTCATCCCCATGGTCCTATTGCACTGCTGCACGCTAGTACCGGAGGGTGAGGGCGCAAATATATCTGCGGTCCGCTTCGCCGCGCCAATACGCGTCGATTTCCTGCGCATCTATCCCACGGGGACGCGTCCGTTCCCAGCCCATTCTCCGAATCTGATCGCGTGCGTCGGGTTCTGGACTGTCGCGTTGCATTGAGTGGCTGACACCCAGCTTCTTGCTTCCAGGTGCACGGAACCCAGTGCGTTCTCGCTCGACATCCTGTTCAACGCCTTGCCGCGCACGCCGGAAGCCAAAGAGAAGCAGCGCGCGGCCAATGCGCTGGTCCCGACGTCGCTCGCGTACGCCGGGGGCCTCGTCGACTTTTCCGTGGATATGGGGATGGAGGTGCGTGTCTCGTGCCTTGGACCAAGTGCCTAATGGATTGAGCCACTGCAGTACGCTACGCGTCTTATGATCGTCAAGGGCGCGTTCGAAAGTCTCACGCTGGCTCTCTATGGAGAGATTGCATCGACTGATATGTCTGACGACTTGGTTCCCTACGACCCCCAACCTCTTCCCGATCTTGTTCCCCTACCTCTCTCGTCGAGAGTCGACCCGGCGAACATGGTCGATCCATGCACCGTTGCAAACCAACTGCTCTCCATGATCTCCGAGTGCCCTCTTCCACTGGTCGCGCGTCTCATGTTCTGCTTGAAACCATCGGACGAAGATTGGGATTCGCTCGAATTCCCGCACCTCTACGCGGACCTCGACCTGGACATGGTCGATGACCTGGACGCTGTGCTGGACCGTATGGCTAGGCCTATCCGAGATGGCTTGCCGATGGACACTTTCAACGCTTTTGCCATCCAAGTCAGCGGAATGATTGGTCCGAAGGTGGAACTCTTGGTCTGTCTATCAGTTGCTGTCGTTCTCATCAACTTTCGAACAGTCTGCCAACCAAGCGTTCTCGATCGCCAAGCTGCTCAGTATCGCAGCTCCACAGGACTCTGGCCTGGTTCGCGCACTGTTGGTTCGTTTTTGAGGTCCGCTTTGTGCGCGAAAGTCCTGAAACATGCTTGCAGAAGCATCTTGAGCTCGAATCTATCTTTGATATGGAGACCATGAACGACCACTCGACACTTCAACGTCTCTGGGACGCGGTAGCCAACATCGAAATCACTCGGCATCTGAACGTCGACTGGTTCCTCGAAGCCCTCGACCACATACAACAAAACGGAAATACCAAGAGATACACCAGGGCGCTGGCTGGGAAAATCCAACTCCGAATGCAGCGTTGGATTGCGTTTGAAGACGTCCTTCTCAATCAGACAGGGGACCTGCGCGAGGCAGCAAAACTGCTTAGCGATGTCAGTGAAGGGGAGCAGTCTATGGCCATTTGGCTCCAAAATATGCTCGAGCATCCAAGCGTCGCACATGCGCTGTCCCAGACGCCCCCGAATGGCAGCCCGAGACTCAGCGCCGAGATCGGCTCTCGGGAAGACCTGGTCATGTGGACCCGGGCTTACATGGGTGTGGGCAGTGTGCTAGCCGTGTGGGCATGGGCGGACAGTCTCGGTAAGGATGCCGCCGCTGAGCAGACACTCGCTACGATCAAGCTCTGGCAAGACGTCGACGGGTACTCCCAAATCGTCAATCAGCTACTCCTACTGCGGCAGTTCCCAGGTCGTCTGGAATGGGAGATCTCGGACAGAGAGCCTCCGAGACAATCAGGAATCCTGGCGGAACAGATCTTCGCGAGGCTGATGGACGAGCCTGGCGCGATATTGCATGACTCGCTCGTGGACACTGTCCTGAAGCTCGAGCAGCCGATGAGCCACATCTCGAAAGAGGAATTGATGACGATGCGCCATCTCGCCTTGCTGGTTGATGGAGGTCTCCAGGCTGCTATCAGAGAGCTTGTTGCGAAACCGTCTTTCCCCTGGCCCATTGCCCGGCTACGCGTTATCCGGCTGGCGCTTGTCATCGTGAAACAGGAGCTGGAAGATGGCGATGACGGCGAGTGGCGCGTTCTGGAAGCGTTGTGGGCCGAAGATGCTCATGGCTTGGTTGGCCGTATGGTCGAGCTATACTTGGATGTGACGGCAAATCTGAGCTCGCACTTCACGCTTGCAGCAGCGCCTATGGACCAAGCTCTCGTCAGCCAGCTCCTTTATACCGCTGCAGACCTAGTCAGACTGATCATCGCGAATCTGCCTGCGATGACAATCCCCGCCCGCGAGATGAGGATGCTGGTTTCTGGGATTGCTGCCGTGTTCGCGTGTGCTGAAACCGCCGCGAAAACGCTCTCGCAATGTGTGAAAGCGGCAGCGGATGTGCGCCAGGCGTGCCTCGAGGCTATCGACAAGCTTACTATCGACGGGATCGAGGCCGAGCCTCACCGTAATGGCTCAGAAGTAGTCCTGCGCGAGCTTCTGGGGCATGCTCACGCTGTTTTTGACAGCGGCCGAGATCCTACCACCGAAATGCGCCAACTTTTCGTTCTCATCGACCGCGCACTTCCCAACTCGAACTGGACGATGGTTCTTGTCGAGCTTGAAGCGTACTTCCCGCTGCTCGATGCTGCGCACAAGAGCAAACTGTTTGCACGACTTGTCGAGTTGGACGGCGGAGAACTTGCCATTGGGGAATGGTTGCTGACGGGAGAGCTGAAGCAACTTCTGGTCTCGCTCGAGAGCGACGGTCGGGACCGTGTCAGATTGCACTGGATCTATACCTGTCTCGACTTTCTGGCGACAATCGCTCATGGGATGAGTGAGTGGATGGCCGCTGCTGTGTCTTCCGACGACGAGCTGTCGAAGCTGCTTGCTCTGTGCCTGACTCAGATGTTGGATGCCCACCTCGTATCCCCTGTGCTGAACCGCCTGATCCGGTCCCTGACTGCTCGGGCCGCCCAGTTCCAGGACCCCGAACTCAAGTTTGCGATTGTGCTGTGCAGTCTGCGCGCGTTCCAGCATGAGCCCGCTGTGCTGCTGAGCGTGCTGCGAGAGCTTCCGTCGGATCAACATCAGCGCCAGCTGATGCGACGCGAAATCGGACTGACGCTGCTTGCGATCTCTCGCGGCGACCCCAGTCCCAAGGCAGCGCAGACGACGTTGGATGTCCTGACATGGCTGACTGAGCAAGATGACCCGAGTCTGCGGTTCTTGTCGAGCATCTCGGCGTCGGCGCTGGTGCAGCTTTACGTCAAGCTCGCGCAGAAACTCGGCCCTTCGCCGCGCCTGAATGCGATCAAATCGAAGGTGCAGGGGGACGAAGACGAGGCCATGGTCGCGCAGCCCGTCGAGCTCCCCTCACAGCTCTCGCTCTCATTGCGCGAGATCGAGGAGCGTCTGAGGCCTGTCCCCGGCACGCCGAACCGCACGACGCCGACGCCGGATATCCTCGGGATCACGTCGTCGCCGACCGGCCTGCTGCGCTCGCCGGCGGCTACGGGACTGACCAAGACGTATGCCAACAATGATTTCCGACAGCTGCGACAGGCGGCAGGGTCTTTCCCGCGACTCAACACGAGCCGGCTGCCCAGTATGCACGGTGCGTGTTTTTCGATGCGAAGCAATAGGAACCGTTCGTCTGACTTGGTTCTAGTCGATGTAGGTACTCCCCGCGGTCCGACCTGAGCGTTGTTTTGCTGATCGGTTCTTGTTTTATCCTCTATCTTATACCATCAAAATTACAATACTGGACCCCCGTGCGCGTGACGAATGTTAGGATTTTGAAAACGCGTCGTCGGCGTCCCCGACCACGGAGCCTTCCTCGATCGCGGTCCCCGGTGTACCGTTCGGGATGTTGTGGGCTTGACAGCGGGTGGGCGGCCAGCCACTCCGCGCCTCCCTGCCGGTGGACGACAGTCGTCATTCGTTGCTTCATTCCGGCTTTCATTCAGTGTGCGTTTCTCCTGGTGTTGTCAGGCTCATTCACTTGCAGCCGTGTTTTGTGTAATATGCTCTCTGGTGTCCTTGTTGCTTTGCTTTGAACTTTGATGGACGAAGGGGAAGGTTGTATATCTACTACTGTAATCCTGGCGTGTTTGTAACTATGTCTGTGTAACTGTGCTAGTATCGGTACCATGTATGTCTCTTTTTTGTCTGTAGTTATTCGATCGTACCAAAAGGAACTATTTGTATTTCGATCAAGTCCAAGAATAAGTTTGTAAAGTAAATCGGAATGCTCCACTGAGTTGGCGGTAGCACAAAAACAACAACATTGAGCCTGTAGAGAGGAAACATGATAGCAGAGATAGTACACACAAGGTCGTCTGATTGGGTTACGCTAATTTTCCGTGTCGCGTTCAGTGCCCGATACCGTTGATCTTGGAGGGAAGTGGGGGCACCGGGGGCACCTCCACATCCTCGGAATCGCCATCCTCTTCCTCCAGTAGTTTCGCGGCGAGCTAGAGAGGAGGGTGCGCGTGAGGTCCCCTCTGGGTGACGAAAGGGAGCCGGGCACGCACCTTCATCGCTTCCGCCTCGTTCGAGTAATGGCGTCCCCGCGCACGGACAAAGTCCGCGTGCTTCGCAGCAGCTATCGAGGGAGGAGATCAGCCACGCACAAACCCACACACACACACAAGCGCCGCGAGCACGCACTTTCTTCATCCATCTCCTCGTCCTCCTCGAGCTCCGCCTGCGCCTCCGCGCGCCCCATCCCGTCTTCGCGGATCTCGTGGCGCGCCTCGCTCGGCAGGTTGAAGCTCGTGCTGCGGCTCGAGGCGCCGCTGCCCGACCGCCCCGAGGCACTGCCCGAGCGGCCCAGGGAGCCAGAGCGCCCCGTGCTCGAGAACGACGTGCGGCGCGACGAGGGGCCGGATCCGGGGCCGATGGCGCTGCCAGGCTCGGAGGGCATGGGGGACGTGGCCATCACAGGGGAGTCGGACGGCCCGCCGGCGTGCGCGCCGTTCGTCCAGATGTACTGCCCGTTGTCGAGGTCGAGGCCGGGGATGTCTGTGGGATGCGGTATTCAATCGGATGGGATGGATGGATGGAGGGGTGTGCACGGACCTCCCTCGACGGTGTCCGTCTCTGCGTTATATCTGACGTAGGGCGTCTTCGGCTCCGTGATCTTCATGAGACTGTCCTTCTGGATCTCCGTGAGCGCGATGTTGGCCTCGTCCCATTGCAGGCTGCGCGCGGTGTGAGCATCACGGAAACGCGGGAGAGGATTCTGCGGGGCGATTGGGCCCGCAGACAGACAGACGCACTGCTGTTGGCCCGTCGATGCAGGTGGTTGCGGCGTGTTCTTCAGGATGCCCTTTGGCTTGGCGTACGATGACGAGCGCGGGATGGGCGGCAGGTGCGGCGGGTCTTCGATGATCTCGGTCGCCATTTGGTTTGTGATGAGGGAGAAAGGTTGGATCCGAGCTGACTCGAGCTAGGTAGCCGTGGAGCGATATACGGAATTAGTCCGTGTTTCGCGTGAGACATGTGCTCGGTCGGAGCCGGAGCAAATACGACTCAACATGACGAATCTGGCAACTTCAACTGATTCGTGAACGATATTTTAGTGCAGCTTCACCGTAGCGCGGCTTGCACAATTGGGGATTTGCGTAGATCTCAGATCCTAGTACTATTAGATTGATGCTAACCGCAAAAGCATAATACTAGACGGGTGCGCTGGGTTGGCTAATCTAATCCATAGTCCAGCGCCCATCGCCTATTTCAGCCATTTCATCATCTTGTCCCGTGCGTCTGGAGTTTCAATGAGTACTACAGTTTGGACGCATTCACCATCATTGATCCGATCAGGTATTGGGTTTGTTTAAGCAAATCTTAGGGGGTGCTATTGATGCTCATAGGTCTGCAAATGCGCCATGGGTCTGGAATTCCTGAAGCCAATAAAATCCTGATTAGGTAAACTGGTGATAAGACACTCTTACAACACTCCCTCATATAGCCACTGCACTGCAATGGCGCAGCTCACACCATTTATTTAAAACATTTTTTCCCAAGACTATTGGTGGTACAGGTTCTTGCGTGGAAATCAACCCTCTTTCTGTGAGCTTGATGCCCCATCAGGAGTTTTCCCGTCTTTGTCCTGGGAGCTCAGCATCCAAAACAATAATGTATAGCCAGAGCCCAGAAAAGCGGAAATTATTATGACTGAAGATTACATGATAATAAAAAGTGGCTGGTGAATAATCTATCCAGAAAACCAAATCAGAGCATTAACTGGAAGATCCAATGTGATCATCCTGATCATTCCGGAAATTTGAGGACACTTCCTTATTCAACAAGCATGCAAGAGTTGAATAATCAGTGTTCTGGCCTGCTTCACGTGACGTCACAGCGCAGCTCAAGAAAATACCTGTTGGAAAGGCGAAAGTCGTCCGAAAATATCCCGCGTGTTCCGGGTGCAGTAAGTAAAAGAACTTGAGATGTGCCCCAACTGGAGCCAAGCTCCGACGCCGGGATCCGAATGTCGGGCCGTTCAGGACATCGGGCCCCAAACCGGGCGATCTGCGTAGCGCCAATCCTGCGGATGAAACAAGCGGGGCAACTGACGTATTTTGAATAAACACTAAGCGATGACACCCACAAGCGCCCACTGACCATCATCGACTGGCGTTCATCCTATCGGGCTCGGATTAAACAGGCGTGAAAGCGCCCCCGAGTCTGCCTGGCTTGTTTCTTGATCTGATCTTCTATCTTCGTTGACTAGTACTCTAGAGATCGACGAAAATATCTGCCAGAACATTGTTCTCGAACGTCCCTAAGATCATCTGCACCCGTGAACAGCACCCGCGTTGATCTCTCTCATGTGATGGCTCCTCTCAAGCGTCATCCACATCTCTGTCTTAGTGCAAATACAGTTCGATTCGAGCGACGGCAAACCTGGTCGTTGCAATAGCCGAAGCCGGTGGGCACCTGTGATGTTTTTTCACGGTCGCTGCTCAAAGTCGGGTCCCATGCTCTAGGAGCTGACGTGCGACGACTATTTTCCGGTCCAGGGACAGCAGCCGTAGCCGGTCGTCCTCGCGGGGATAAACTCAAGATACCCTCTCGAAGGATATAAAAGCTGGGTGTGTAGTGCCACTAGTAGGAGATTCGTGCTTGTAACCAGCAGCCTCTCCAGACATGAAGTTCTCAATCTCTGTTCTCCTCGGCCTCGCCTCTCTTGCGGTGGTGCTCGCGGCTCCAGTCACCGAGCCCCGCGCCGCCTGCGCAGACGTGATCGTAAGCAGCACTAGTCGCGTTGCAGCGCCGACGACGCGCGCACTCACGTCCCATCTCCCAGGTCTTCTTCGCGCGCGGGACGACTGAAGCTGCGCCGATCGGTAGCCTCGTCGGCCCCCAGTTGGAGTCCGCACTGCAGGGCCTGTTGGGGAGCAAGACACTTGCGTTCAACGGCGTCACCTACGCTGCGAGCGTCGCCGGATTTCTGGAGGGCGGGGATCCCCAGGGCTCGCAGAACATGGCGAACGATGCAAGTCGCCTCTGATTCTGCTGCTGCAGATCGGCTCGTTTTGACGCGTATTTCGCAGTTGACCAACGCGGCGAACTCGTGCCCGAACGTACGTTCGTTTCCGGGCATTTCGAAGAAGCCGCTGCTGATGTTATCTATTTTTGCATTTAGGCGGCACTCGTCACGTCTGGGTACAGCCAAGGCGGCCAGCTGGTGCACAACTCGGCCAAACTATTGTCGGCCAAGGTGCAGGCCCGCATCAATGCCGCAGTCATCTTCGTGCGTTGAAACCCCTGCCTCAGTAGAAATCAAATAGAGCTGAAGAAATTACAGGGCGACCCCGACGACGGCTCGCCAGTGGTTGGCGTCAGCGCGTCCAAGACACTCGTCATCTGCCACACCGGCGACGACATCTGTCTGCACGGGGACCTTGTCTTGCCGCCCCATCTGTGCGTTGCTGCCACAAACCTCCCACGTTCTTCTGGTGTAATTTGATGACATTATTTCAGGACCTACGGGATGGACACGCCCACCGCGGCTGCGTTTATCGTCAGCAAGGTTTGAACATCGGCACGTGATCTGGGTTCAACCTCCACCTCACGTGTTTTCGATTTGGCCTTTGGGAGGCGAAGTGTTGTTTTTGGTGAATAGGAGTAGGAATGTGATATACAAGGATCGAACTTGTGAAATTAAGAAATTTTTGCCTTAGTCATTGAGGTTTCAAGCGGATTGATGGATAAGATGGTGCAAGAAAACAAAATGAATGTTTGCTTCGAGCTCTTATAGACGATATTACAAAGTACATAGACTAAACATTCGTATCCAGCGACTCAGTTATTCTCACTGCCCATACTTTCCTTTCTTTCTTCACGTTGCGAATTTGGAGGATTAGAATCTCTGGGTTAAGCTACACCTTGCTGACAATGAAAGCAGCCGCAGCCGACGCATCCTGGCCGTACGTCCTATCAAACAAAGTGAGACCCATGCGTATCAACTTGGGTGGAGAGACAACATACAAGTGCGGCGGCAGGATGTTGTCTCCGTGCGCGCAGATGTCGTCGCCGGTGTGGCATATGATCTTGGTGTTGGCCGCGCTGACGCCCGCGACGGCCGTGCCGTTGTCGGGGTCGCCCTGTATGCACCCCGTCTCAGTATCCCTCGGGTTGTATAGACAAGGATGAGCCACGCACGAAGATCACTGCGGCTTTGATCCGGGAGGATACGTTGGAGGACAGCATTTTGGCCGAGTTGTGGACCAGTTGGCCGCCCTGGCTGTAGCCGACCGTCACGAGCGCGGCCTTGGCGTAAACATCAGAACTCAGAACCAAGACCCTTCTGGTGACGATCGACGCACCTTCGGGCACGAGTTCGCCGCGTTCGTGAGCTAAACGAACTTTTAGCCAACCAAGTTCTCTGACGTGCTGAAAATACAAGCAGCTCACGTCGGCGGCCATGGTCTTCGAGCCCTGCGGGTCGCCGCCGGCCAAGAATCCTTGCACGTCGGCAGGGTAGCTGACGCCCGCAAACGAGAGGGTCTTGCCCGAGCTGCGGAGCGCGCTGGTGAGCGCCGACTGGAGCGGCGGCCCCGCGACGCTCCCGATCGGCGCGGCCTCGGTCGTGCCGCGCGCGAATACGACCTGCAGCAGGGAATGAGTACGGAGCGAAACGCGTCAATCGGATGGGGGCACGGACCATGACGTCCGCGCAGGCAGCGCGCGGGGCGTTCGCGGTGGGCGCACCGAGGGCGACGGATACGAGTGCGAGTTGGAGAGTGAGGAGAGTAGCGAAGGTGTGCATCTTGCAGTGGGTGGATGGGTGGGTGTTGTTGTTGGGTTTCTGTCTGGACTATGCCCCGAGTGGCTTAACGTTTTATAGAGTGCAGCTTGGGGCGATTGTTCGGCCTAGTGCACCGATGGATCACAGCATATTCGACCAGGATACTGCACCCGGCTTGCCTACCATTGTACCAGCACACCCCACCCACAGGACCCACCCAGCATGGAAGCACGGTATTCTTTTTGACAGGTTAATCGGGATTCGATTCTCGGGACATCCGCGCTGGGATGGAAACAGTGGCGGCAGACAAGTTCAACCGTGGGAACTCACAGCCACTGACAGCCCGCACTTTGGGTGTCGACGACCTTCCCAGGTCTCTGGTCGAGCTGGGAGAGAAAATCAAGCACTAGCCCGCGCAGATGGTGCAAGGCAGGGGGGAGGCGTGTCGTACACACAGAATCCCGTTCTGAGCCGGTAACTAACCCCGTAGCTCCGACATTGCATCCCATCTGCCAGGAACTTGGGGGCCTCGTCCGTAATCAATGCGGGGGAGGGTGCTTCGTAGACCCACCAGAGTATCTGGCCCGTCTGTCCGTCCGTCACCAGTGCATACCGACCCTGTTCGCTTCACAGCCGGCCGGACCCCTCTGCCGAGGAATTAGGGTACGGACAGCGTTGCAAAGCAAGTTGGTATGTGTGCATACATAACGGAGATCGGAGAGAAGCTGCTGCAAACGAAAACAAGAATATTGTCGCGACTGCCGGAGAGTGCGATCCGCTGACTGCCGTGGTTATCGTATCGCGTGGGTCCCGTGACCGTCGAAAAACGAGCCCTGCGCATCACTAGTCTCCCGGCATATGCATGACTAAACTTCTGTCTCAACACCACCCTCGTCGTCGCGTTTCAATGTCGTCGCATCGCACCGGATGCAATCGCAGGGCACTTAGGCTTTGGAGGTGTCGGCGGCACGCGCATTATCTCTGGGCCGTTGACGCGCCGTGCAGTCATATTCGGAATGCCATGGCCGTACGCTGCGGTCTACCACGTGGGCGTCGCGCACGACAGGATCTCGATCCCCTTCGCACTCACAATCTGCATCAGTAAGTACTTGGAATGGTCGAGTTTTCTCAACAGCGTGCTTTATTGTAGTCACGTGAGGCTACTCCTAGGCATATTCTCCTCCGTACTTGCGATTCGATGCCCAAAATAGATTGGACGTGGCCCCGCTCCCGTGTTCGAAATTCCAAACCTGCTATACGCCAGCAATATCAAATACCGGCAATCTCCGTGTTCCCATCATTAACCTGCTGCACTACCGCGAAACATAGCGACATCCGCACTGTTGAACATATCCTTGATACTGCGATCCTTCCCGATGCTTTTCTGCAATGTTGAAGTTTTATGGGGAGCCCCAGAATTAGCGCCCAACGAAGATGCGATGAAATCTTCCCCCGTTTCGTTCGTCAATGAGGGGTTGCAGGAGCGATTTGAGTCGTGCGTTGCGCCCAAACAAGCGAGGATCCGGGGCACATGGGAGGCGGCTGTCCACTTCGTTATCGATGCGCTGAATACGCTTCACCTCGTCGCTAGTGCGTTGCTGGATGCCTGATTGCGAGGGACGCCGGCCGCTGAATTCGTTCTAGGACAGGGCCGCATCGAAAATGTAGTTTCTCCTGCCGCTGATCTACCTGATTCTGCAGCGATATTTTGAGATCCTGCGGATCTGCCAGAGCAGGATCATTCATGCTGACTGACGAGCTGTGCGATGTCGCCGACACGCTGAACCGGGCGGCAATCGCTGTGCGGGATCGCGTGGATTTACTTGAACGTTCGCGGCCTGGCTGTGGGTCTGCTAGCAGCAGCCTGGCACGGAAGCGCACTGCAGCAAGCAACCTTCAAACAACAGAAGGCCGACGCACAACACAAGTTCACGACTTTCGCGTACGGACTAGTTGAGCGACTCTCCCGTACGAAGCCTGGACCCGATCTCACACTGAAAGGGTCGCCAGTTCCAGTACATGCACGAGCCAACAGGACTCGCGGTGCAGCTAAGGTGCCGAACTACCCGCTCAGCCCGCGCGCTGTCTTGAGCGCGTCCTTGGCTCGTAGTCCAGGTGCGCCGAGCTGGTGGTGGACTCTGTCCCGCGATGCAGGTCGTGCAGACGAGATGTGTGCCAACCATGTTGGCTCTGTGTCAACTGCTAAGGCAAGCGTGCTAACCCTCTATCTTAAGCATCTGAAGCGTACATCTACACGTCATCTGAGTCGACGGAAAAGGGCATCAACTGGTACGGCCACAACCCGCACCATCACGACTTGGTAAGGTGCCAGCCGGCGGTCAATAGCGCGGACGAGGAGCAGCACAGCCTCGAGTCCCGTGTCGCTGCTAGTTTCGGGAATTGGAGGGCCCGATGGGGATGGGGAGAGCAAGCGGCTAGCGGGGATGGAGAAGCTGTTGGGGCTGTTGGTGGAGCAGGCGGGAGCACGGGCTGAGGAGAGCGATCCAGGCCACGGCTCCCGCGGGGGCGCGGAAGCAGTCGGCACCCGCTGCTGATCTAGATTCCGACTCTTGTTGTCCGCAGCTGCTTGGCTTTTTTACGCATCCTGTGGGGGCAACCCCTCTGAGTGATCTCATGCGGATTTGGGGCGTTTAGGATTTCGTGCCACCTGACTGCACCGTTCGGACATCGCCGAATCGGAGGTTGGCGATGAGCGACTTTCAGCACAAATGCATATATTGCCCAACTACGTACTTCAGATCAATGATTAATCGTCCCAGGCCGCCCAGGCAAAGGAGTGCGCACAACCCTCTGGATGCGCATCCGACTTGACGGGCCCAGCAAAACACAGCACAGGTGCCTTGATGTCCAGCTCGTCCTCCCAGTCCGTGACCTCCACAAGACCGCTCAGCCCTTCCTCCGAGTCGTTCTCCAGATCCTCATCGTCAAAGCGCATGATCGTGGATCCGAGCCTGTACGACTGAAACAGCCGCGCGCGAATCTGCACGATCTGGGAGAGACCCTCGATCCAGCCCTGCTCAAAGTGCTCTCGGATCTCAGCGTGTTTCGATGCGGACACGGATGCGGGGAGCGTCGTCGCAAACGAGCGCACGGCCGGCGGCGGGGGCAGCAGACGCACCTTCCGCGTGGCCACCGCCTCCGGGGTGTTCCTGAACCCCACGACGCGTGTTTCCCGCGGCGGGGACTGCCGCAGCGAGATGGTCGCGGTGCTGACGCCCTTCCGCCCCGGCCGCGCTGTCCGCCGGACGGCAGCGGGCTCGACCGCTACAGTCTCCAAGCGCGCCTGCCGCAGTTTCTTCTCCCGCTCCCGCATCCTTCGTACACCCGACAGCGCGAATCCCTTGCCCAGGACAGCCCAATCCTCCGAGTGGAAGTCGCCGCGCAGCAGAGTCGTCTTGTCCAGGATCAGGTGGGCCAGTCTCGGCAGCCGCGGGAAGATCGTCTCGGTCAGATCAGAGCCAAAGACATTGCATGTCGAGAGGTCCAGCAGCTCGACGGACGGCAGCGACCGGTAATGCGTAGTCAGCGGCCCGGCAACAGGCCTCGCTGGAATACGAAGACGGAATGATTTGAGAGTGGAAAGATACGCTGACCGCGCCAGATTCGCCAGATGCAGATCCAGACGGAAGAACACGATCGGCTGTGCGAAGGAGACCTTTGGCGCCTGAGAAGGATCCATGGGTTGCTGAATGATGGACAGAGTAGGGAGATTCGACGCTGGCCATTGCGCGAGGCATTCCAAGACAGGGTCGAAATACGAGCCCTGTCAGTGGCACGGTCAGATGGATGTCAAAATCCGCGTAGAAAGAGCCTACACTCAAAAACTGCTGATAAGTCGCTTTCTGGACGCTAGAAAGACGACGGTATCAGATAGCCATAGGAAGAGAGAGAGAGGCCAGCGCACTATGGCCTGAAGATCAGGGAGAGGTTGGTCAGCTCCGGTCGAGGCCTTGACGATCCAGTCAGCACCATACTCGATCTGCATCAGTCTAAACACCTACCTTTCGAGCACGCTCCTCAGATGCTCGGGAGAGAAGTTCGTACCGATGCACAGCACAAGCGAGCGCAGCCGCGGCAGCTTGCTGAGGATATTCAGCACGATCTCTGCATCCACGGTCCACTGGTCCTCGAGGCGGAACTCCTCCACGTGTCCGGCGACCCTTGCCCCGTCCGGCTTGAGCAGCCGCAGCGTGAACAGTACAGCCTGTTCTGCACGCGTGAACACGATGCGCTCGAACAGCGGCTTGATGGAGATGGGGTGGTGGGGGAGCGCTCGCGTCAGAGCTAGGAGAGACTGCCGGTCGTCTTGCGGGATTTGTTCGGCAATCGAAGCATAGAGTTCCACGGGAAGAGTTATCGCAGGCATAGATCGATACGAAGCGCAGATGGCGTCCGTTGCTGACAGAACATATAAACTGAAGGTCGAGGTTCTGGGATGACGTCGAGGACGAAGGAGAGCTCGGCTAACGCCATAGTCTGCTGAGTAACGCCAATCGAATGACTCTGAGACAGCAAGCCACGTGACCGATCGAGAGGCATGAGATGATAATTTCCAGTTGGACGCGCGAGAGACGGATTCATGACCGCAGGACTAGATTATGAATTTTATTGGCATATCCTACAACAATGCATGGAATAGTAAGGAACATATGTACACTATGGCTGTCAATCTACACAACCGCTCCATGAGAAGCCGTATCTGGTAGATTATTCAGATTTACCCTTCCCTCGTCGATCCATGCCTTCTTCACCAGCTTCTTCCTGTCTGACCAGTACAACCGATACACAACCTTGATCGTGTTCTCTCCGGCCTTGGTCACCTCAGCAATCTCACGGATCGATTTGTTCTTGCCCATAAGAGCGCACGTGAAATACAGTGCGCCGCTCGCGATGGACAGCGGACTCCTGCCCTCTGCAATGCCGTACTTGCGTGCGGTGACGATGATGTCCGAACAGACCGATTGCACGTTCGGCGGCAGGTCCAGATGATTGCAGTACCGCGCTAGCAGCGTCTCCGCGCCAGCCTGTGTCGTCGACGTCGTGGACCCGTTGTTCAAGTCCAGAGTCTTTTGGATCGCTTTGCAGCACTGCCCTAGCAGCTTCTTCGACACCTTGGTCATCTCGCAGATCTCACGAAATGCGCGAGACACACGGGCTTGCCGACAGGCGAGGAATATGCATGCGGCGACGACGGCATCCACCGGTTTCCCGCGCAACAGCTTCTCGTCATCAGAGCGCTTGTATAGCTGCTTGGCGATGTCGCTGATGGTTTTGGGGAGCGAGAACTGGTCGCACCAGGTGGCAATTTGCCGGAATGCGGTGAGCACGCTGCGCTCCGAGCGAGCACTCTGGGCACGCGAAGCCGCCCGCTGCAGCTCCTTCGCCAGACCCGACCCGCCGTCCCGAAAACTGACCATCGTGTCCAGATCTTCGCCGAGCAGCGGATCCGATGCGGCACCCACACGCGACGGGTCGTCACCCTCGTCGTTCGCGAAGGTCTATCGGGGAGAAGCGTGGTGAGTAACGGCAGACGGACGCACCGCCGCCTTTGCAAAAGAATGGGTACGTACCCGCCATTCACTCCGGGTATCCACAATCCTGTCACCCAGCACCAATCCACACGACGCGCACACCAAATCTCCGCTGCTGAACTCTTCGGCAATTTGGGGGTTCGGGTCTTTGCAGTCGGGGCAGATGAGCCGAACGTTCAGGTCCGGCCGGAACGTGGGAGGTAGTTCCTGCTGGCCAGGCTGCTTTGCGAGAGGGAAGGGTTGCGAATAAGCCATGGATGGTAAGTGGCTTCAGGAAGAATGCGAAAGTGAAGCAGTTTTTCGTGAGGGGGTGAAACCGAACTGAGGATTCCAAGTCGTTTAGGGAGAGCAGACAGCCCGAGGGATATTTCGACGTCTCTTCTCTTCTGGGTATCTGAATTACTGGTCCGACCTTCCGACGTGGATGACGGAGGGGAGCAAGGATGAAGAACAGGACAAGGGCCCGAGCTTGTGGCTATGTCTCAATTTGTCAGCTCTGTTTGCACCAGCATGCACCGCCACGGGTCGACTCATCTCTCTGACTCTTAGCCTTTTGCCGTGGAGATCAGAGGGTGATGTCGGTTCTACGAACGACCGATGACCGCATTGCGAAAACTTATTTAAATCCATATCTTGTCACAATTGGCATGAACGCTTGTCCTGTTCTGTTGCTGGAGATGAAGCGCTGCGAGTAGAATTTTGAGTCATTCTGAGTCAATTTTAGTCAGCATTCGAATATGTATGGATGACAAAGGCCAAGTGCGTTGCAACTTCCGCTTGTTTGAAATGCTCATGACTTGTTGTGATCTGAATACCAGCGTATGATTGTGACTTTATGTGACATTTCGCGTCTGTGATGTAGGCAAGCACGGATTACAAGATGTAGTGTACTGCGTATAATTTAATTAGATGCGAATTATTAATAACTTTAAGGATGAGCAATCGCTCTTGTTTCGATTCAGCGCACGAAAATGCCATCAATCACCGACTGGTATATCTCCTCCACTGCCTTGCGCCGGATGTTGCCTTTGGTGACGGTGCGCGGCAGAGAGCCCTTGGGGACGACAACGATCATAGCTGTCGAGGTGATACGTTCATGCAAGTAGCGGCGAGCGTGGAACTGCCTTGTCTTTCGGATGATGTCCCGCTTGAGCTTCTCCTGGTCCACAGCCTCCGAGCCGGGTTCGACAAACAGCACGGGACTCGGTCTGGCAGAGCCCACGACAATGCATTCAGAGATTAGATTGCCGCACGAGGCACGGGCGTTCTCCTCGATGGCCTTCGTGTTGCACCGCAGACTGCTCTCCATCTTGATCCAGTCGTCATCGCGGCCTTGCGAGAGATACCGTCCCGGCGCGGCTTCGATGAACAGATCCCCGGTGTGGAAGTTCCCGTCAGATTGTCGCAGCGAGGGGTGGGGGCAGTCGCCCGACTGTGCGAGGACAACCAGCTCGAGGATGCGGGTAGTCGAGACGTGCGGACCGGCGTTGCCGGTTTCGATGGGAACAAAATCGTAGGCTACATCTTCAGCCGGATACAAAAGGTTGGCCTCGGGACCACAGCCTCCGCTTGAGATGAGTAGTGCACCCACTTCGGTGGACCCAAAGACATTCTGGGTACCAAGATGAGAATGAGAAACCCTTGCGGGGGGAAATGAACACTCACTCTGAGTTTGATGCTTTGGCTGAGCGCCCAAGCTTCTTCCTCACGGGGCAACGGCAATCCGGTGTACATCAGCTCGTCCAGAGCGGTCAGTGCTTTGAGAACTCGGGCGTCTTCACGCGAGGTGCGCAGATGTGTGGCCGCAAAAGATCCAAAGATATTCAATCTGTTGAGCCCCTGATCCTGAATCATATCCACCAATTCGGAAGGTGAGAATGGAGTCGTCAGGGGCTGCACGATACAAGCATTATGCTGAAGATATCCAATGAACACTGGAAAGTCAAAGTCAGACGATGAATGGAGACCGGCGCAAACAAACTCACGGAAGTTCTGGAATATGTGGCACATGCTTCCTCTGTAGGCGATCAGCACATGTTCTTGGAGCAGTATGGAAATTCTCACCCCCAGCTAGCGACGTCGAATCGAGCAGCAGTCTCCCGCTTAGGGGCACAGGTCTGCGCGGATTTGCGGATGGTCGATTCCATCCACCGGTACGTGCAAGGGACTAGTTTCGGCGAGCCAGAGGTGGAGCCACTAGTGTGGAAGTAGAAAGCAATGGCCTCTTCCTGCGCCTCAGGAAGTGAAGGCAAATCTACAGCAGAGCTTCCACTCGCAACAAGCTCTGCGGCCCGGTAGATAGGGATAGGCCAGGTGCCGAGCGCAGACTCGAACAAATCCTCGTAGATGAGCGCCTGAGCACCGGTCTTGACAAGCAGCTCCAGAATCACATCGGCACTGGGGAGTCGCAGGCTGAACAGTTGGGGAATGAAACCTGCGCGCGAGAGACCGTAGATGTTAACCACGTCCTTGTAATCATATCCACTGATCCTGTAGAGGAAATGAGCCTTCGATCTGCAGCTGAGAACACGGCTACGCACCAAAGCCCGACGACCGACCCAGCGGGAATCCGGTCTCGACGGAAAATGCGCAGGAAATGACCGGCTGTCTCCTGGATATCCTGTAGTAGCTGTGCATAGCTTATGTCCCGCCAGATAGGATTGGACGTTCCCTCCGATCGACGAGGGACCTTGAAGGCAACGGCAGCCGGGAAACGGCGCGCACTGCACTCGAGGATGCTGAGATGTGTTGTGGTCATGGCAGTGGGTGGTGGTTTTCGGGTTCGACCTGGAAGATCTGGGACAGCATTTATACTTGCACAAGAACATTTTCTTAAAAGGCCGGGGCTGTAAGATGGTAGACGTGTGACGCTGTATTGCCTCGTAGGGAGCCAGATCCCGGTGAAACGTCGATAAACAGGAACAGATGAATGCGCCAGCCAGTCGGCAACAGATGCGTAGCTATCATCTTGCTAGCTTTGGATACGTAAACCTGTAAACGCAATTAAGAGCCTTGATTGACTCGAAAAGCGATGCTAGGCTGCAGTGGAGGACATACATTTCTGCGCTTAGATCAATGATTGCTCATGTCACAAATGCGACATGTACGGAGACGAGGCTGACTCGGTCAGCACTACGCGCAAACATAGGAAGATTTGCGCTGAGTAACTCGGTCTATGCCAGTTTGGAGATACGGAGGGATTTTCGACCGACGCACCGTCTGTTCGAAAGCCAACTGCTGGAGCCTAATTATGCATCCAACGGAGGATTCTTGCGGACGTGTGTGACACGAGATCCTTGGGCCAAGCATGCTCGCTTCCGCAAAGTCTCCACGGTGCCTCAACGGGAATGATTCGATGGTCTGGGTTGGTATGAGGTGGTGCTCGCCCGCTGGGCCGTCGCTGGGCAACGTGTCCAGGACCAAGAAATCAGCACCGCCACACGACGACACATCTTACCACGTGCCAATCTTCCGATCCCGATCTCCCCGTTTCTCATTTTCTTCGACTGATACTATGTACTGCGTTCCGCAGGCACAAACCGGCGCACAAAAATCCGAGCGCGCGATCTAAGGATCTGATTTCCCAGACGGCGTCGAATCGCACCCCGAGCCGACTTGAGACGGCCTCGTGTGTGAGATGGAGATTAGAGTCCTGCGTTTGCAAATCGCACATTCAACTCCGAATCGGATCCCGAGTCCGTTCCCGAGTCCGGAGCCGAATGAGGCCTCGTCGAATCATCCCCGAGGCACCGGTCTGTGCAACGAACTCCGCGCGCGCCCCACCGACGACGGTCACAGTCAGCCGAATCTTTCGAGTCGACATGGGACCCAAACATGATTTTTTGACGCATATACGCGGCTTTACCCATCTCCCAAGTTACCGCCCTGGAGTGATAGACAATCGCGCGCGATGAAACAATCTAGCGCCTGAAGCGCTATGTGCGTCACGGAGACCAGAGGTACCCAGCCCTGGCCCCTCCGCTCGGACGTTCCCGGCCGATCTTTTTCTTCCCGCTTGCTTCTCACATTGAACCCGCATCAAAGCCGTGATCTTTTGATCGCGATGCGCAGACCCGCGTCCGTGGAGCACAGGAGGTTTCTAAGGCCCGACGCTAAATTTAGCCAGCCCGTCTTGACGATTGGCGCGGCCTGAAAGGCACACAGAGACTGAGGGCCTCGCAGTTCCAGTTTTGATGTTTGAATCACAGTGTCAGAATCAAACGGCACCGACTTCCCGGGGTGTCGTCCCGACATCCGGAGATCACCAAGCCGAGTCATCTATAGATGTCCCGGGAGAGGACCGCGCGAGCGCGGATGCAGAATACAGTCCTAAGCCGAGGGGCGGCCATAGAAATAGGATAAATGAAGGCGGGGGCCAGTGACCCAGTCAGTCTCACTCAGCAGTAAACGCGGAGTGGAACTCAATCAGTGGGCAGATCGGCGCAACCAATCGGGCGCGCATCTCGACTCAACTCAGGGTGCGGCGCAGTTGGCAGATCTTCCTCAGCACCCTGGTGGCTGAGCTTGGGAGAATAAGTTATTCTTCTGGTCATCTATGCGCTGTTCGGGTTCTTGTCTTGTCTCGGCGCACAGAAGGGCTGGCCATATTCCCCAATAGAAAATTCAGGCAGTGTCCTCCCACCCCTAGCCGAGCGTATTCGAATAACTCGTCCCATCACCAAGTCTGACGATGCGGAAGCACTCTGGATATTATCACATGCAAATGAGTCTCTGACCCGTATGGACCAGGACGGAGCAGAGCCGAGATGGGGTCACTCGAAATACCGTTGCCTCCACTCTTTCCTCCGGAGTTGGTCCATTGTACTTGCGGACAACACATAAGCTTAGGCTTTAAAGTCACGATAATCACGTGAATGTGACGCGACGTGTAGCTTAACGTTCACATTTATTTGAGTGGGCGAGCCAGTATTCAAGCGGCCCAGTGAGAAATTGGGAAACTTTCATTCTATCCCTTTTTCAAGATCTCCACAAGGCTGCCCTGAATTACAACGCCGTCAAGTATAGTGCAGAGAAGCCGCCTTTGCATCGATAGAATCACAGCTCGTCTCTAGGTGCCTCGGCTTCTTCGGCGACCACTTTAGTGTCTGCATCTGCACCAGACGTCTTGCCCGAGCCAGCCAAGGCATTCGCATCCGCCGCCACAATACGAGACCGGATGACACCTTCCTCTGCCAGCTTGCTTGCGAAACGGGCGATCTCCGAGTCGTATACTTCCCATTCTGGGATCTGGCGCGCACGGACAAGTTTCGGTTCTTTCTGCAGAAGAGGGGGGAGGTATTAGTATCATATCCGCACGTCGGGCCAAGTACGGATGCACTCACAGTCAGCGGATTCTGGCAGAGATCGATCGTCTTGGCACGGTGCAGTCTGTCTTTGCTGCACCACGTCTCGCACTGAACAGGTGTTAGGCCGCAGAGCGGAGAATTCGCACGTGACTCACCCAGAGCCAATCTTCAGGCAACGAGAACTGGCGGACGCAAAGTTAGTAATCGACCCATCGGCCACTGAATGGCCGGGCTTACTATCGGAACCTCCCGCTGAAGGTTGTTGGGAAGATCTGATTCAGGTGAGCATGCAGTGACTGACGCAATTAAAAGGGGCCGCAGCTAACCTTGATCCAGATTAGCCAGCGAGCCCGGGTCAGCAGACAGCTGCTGGTACGACCCCCGAAGCATGTCACCAGCGGCGAGCTGCCGGAAGCGGACAAGATCAATGACGTAGAGCGCACTGATGTGGTACGGCATCCCCTGCAGGAAATCCTTCCAGTATCCTGTCTTCCAGAACCGGAAACCCTCCATGTCGGTGTTGTCATCACCCATGGGCGTGTATCCGTAAGGGGCCCCGTGCAGATCCAAGTCAACGAGCTCTTTCAGGTCCGCGCGCACAATTTGATCGGCATCAACGAAGATGACCTTCTTGAGGTCCATCGGGAAAAGCACGTCGAGGAACAGGATCTTGTATGCCCAGATGATCCGTTGTTTCTCTTTCTGCGCACGAAGCCAGGACGGCCACTTGTAAGTCACAAGCTCATACTGGAAGTTGTACGCTTCCGCCATATGTGGAATGAATTCCTGTCCGCGAGGTTACCACCAACTATGACGTAGCTGAGTGCGCAAAGAATTGCTACTCACCAGGAACGACGGCGACAAGAAGTTTTCGATAAACCAGAACTTAACGGTGCTCTTGGTGTTGCGCAGCACACTGAGGATCATGATCGACACAAAACGCTTGTCACAGCTTTAGATTAAACAAGTACAGGGCATACGACATGCCGCTCACCTCGTATAGCAGCCCGGAGGCTACCGTAAAGATGTTGATGTCAGCCTGTTTGGTCACAGGCACGACCTCCTTGGATGAGAAGATCGACTTGAACAGCCCGCCGAAGATGGAACCCGACCGGTCTCCCTCGTTACTGGGTTCATCCAGCACGTCCTCGCGTTCCTTGCCCGGATACCTCTGCAGTCTCGGATAGATCGTCGTCCCTTCGAAGCTGGTCACCGCAATCTCGTCCCCCGCCTCGGACACAGCTCGGCTGTCCAGTCCTTCATTTCCGACGCTTTCCATGAAGAAGATCTCTCGACCCCGGCCTTGCTCGCGGATCTCGAGCCGGAAAACACCCGGCTTCGCTTTGAACTGCAGGTAGCCCAGGTTCGCGACCACTTGTGTGTCGTCCACAGGCGAGGAGTCGGCGTTTAGCAGCTGCAGCTGCACCCCGCGTGGCGGAGCGCCTGTCACCGAATCACGCGCATGGCCTTCGACCACGAGATAGTCGAGCGCAAAGTCGGCATCGACGCTGGGTTCCGATACGCTGCCGAGCTGGATGTTGTCCAGGTCGTACAGGGCTTCCCGGGGCCGAACAAGCCAGGAGGGAGGCACGTCCATCGCTAAGGTGTAGATCGGCTCAACGGGGAGCTCTGAGAAGACTGCCTCCGTTGGCATTTGGACACTGCCGAAGCGGTGTAAGTACCACGCATGTCACGACAACGACCGGAACGTACCCGTCCGAATCGAATACGAGCGAAGGCAACAGAGCATATCGGTAGAATCGTTTGAGGGGGATCTGAACTATGTAAAGAACGACCGCACAGGTCTAAGTAGTTTGGCACACACCTCTTCATTGATCGAAGGATTAGTGTACACTTTGATGTATACATCCGGGATGTGCGCAAGCCACTGGTGCCGATCCATCAGTCAGGGCGCGATCTCCAACAAAAGAACCCACCTCGAGTAGACCGGCCCATTTTTGGGCAGTCTCGCTGATGGGATCTACCAGCACAGCAATCTGGTACAACGCTGTTGCGTTGTCACCGAACTGGAAAGTCGAGTATCGGTCATCCAGCAGCTGATAGCTGCGTTGTCTCGGACGTTTAGGAGGGTCGAAGATCCCTCCGCCTCCGGGTTCTGGTGCCTCCAATGCGGCGACGATGGACACACAGGCAGATATCAGTGCAGCCGAGGTCGCACTACGAATGATGATCAGGGCCGGATCCTGCAGCAATAGCAGACGAAGCGCTCACCGATCCAGTTCTCTGAGATCAGGCTTGATGGTCTCCAAAGCCACGATCACTGGCTCAGCTCGTTTCCGCAGCTCGAATGTCTCCAATGCTCTGAAATCGGCCGCGGAGAAGTCCTTGGGAGCAATAGGCCCAACAATCTTATGCCTCAGGTCAGTCTGAGATCTAAGCACCACGAGAAGGGCACGTACACGGCCGTTCACGATTACGATCTGTTGGCCTGGAGCAAGCTCAAGCTCTCGCAGAACTAAACGTCCCCCATTCACCGACCGGACATACTCGTCCCAGGAGAAGTCAGCTCCGCTGGTGAGTTCATCGGCAGTCTGAGTTCCGTCGCTCTGAATCACCAAGCCGGGCTCCAATGCCTGCAGAAGCTTGGCTGGGGTTGCCTTGGACAGCAAATTTTTCACGACGAGATGCGAAAGGAGCCAGGACTTTGGCGGCCTGACCGAAGAATCCAGCTCGATTGTACTCGGATTGTGGATGAAGGAGAGTCGCATCTTGGAGTTCTCGTCCTGAGACACGCGGTCGCGTCAGGGCTGTGACAGTTGCGAGGTGCCACGCTACTCACGAACGACTGCAGTGCCTCCTTGACCAAATCCAGTCCACCTTCGCTGTCCAGATCCGCGACGACATAGACGGTCAGCGGGAGCATTTCCGTCTCGGCTGCGAATCAGGTCAATATTCCCAGTTCCTCATCTCGAGTGCACGCTTACCAGGATAAACAAAAGATCCAGGCAGGACCTTGAACCCTGTGCGTCTGAACGTGTCGGGGAGGTTGAATATCCTGACCGCAGTCTCTGGGAAGATATATTTGTTTTCTCCGGAGGCTGGTGGTGGGCTGGTCGTAGAAGTACGTCGAGATGTGCTGGGCGGTTTCCTCCGTGATCTTGCCGTTGTAAAGCTCCTCCTGCAAGTGCTGGGTCTGGGGTGCTATCTCCATCTGCATCCCTCGCCAGAATCCCTAGAGCGGCATGAATGAGCAAAGGGAACGCGCGCATCGAGTACGGCTCACTTCATCCACGTCGAGGTGCTTCCCATTGACGAAACTGTGTCCCTTGCTTGAAGCAGCGAGTGTTGCGCCAAGCCGCTCGGCATAGCTGCGCCCTTTGGCCACCACCATCGTTTCAGGGCTGTCCTCTGCGAGAACGGCATCAAAGTCCACAGGCTTCGCTGCCTCGGCATCCTGGGGATCATTGAGCAGCAGCTCGGTCGAAAACGCAAATTTGATCGCATCCCAATCGAGCTTGCCGTCCGTGATCGAATTCATGACCTGCACCGATTAAGAACAGGATTCGAGCCACAACACATAGTCTTACCGAGGTCAGGAAACTCATCGTCCGCTTCCGGCCATAGTTCTTCACACCATGGTAGAACAACTTGCCATCTTCTTGCCGTCCTCTGTCTCGGTGATGGGCACGATGCCGAACCGCAGAGGGAAGCTGCGGCTGACGACGTTGGCCACCGCGCCCGTGATCATGTTGAGACTGGCCGGCGACGACAGATCCAGCACGAGCACGATGTTGAACATGTTCAGTTTGATCTGGTGGAACTGGCCAGGATACAGCGGGCGGAGAAGCTACTTGTTTTGCCGCGTCAGCGACGAAGGAAAGCAGCGGACGCAACGCACAGTCTGGATGTTCGCCGACCACCCCGCATACCGGCTGTCCTTCTCAAGGTCATTCCACCACACAATCACCTCGCCTCCCTCGGGGCGGTCGCTGGCATCGAAGAGATTGTCATAACGGCGGCGGCGCTTTCGCTGCTGCTCCCGGAAGGATGTGCGACCAGATCAATCGCCTCCATCCGCGCAGACCGAGGGCCGTTAGCGAAGTCAAAACCGTGCGCTCCTTTCTGACGAAGCGGAGCAGCCGAGCGGATTGATGTCCTTCTCCGTGAGCGCCGCTCCGTTGACCCAGAACGCATTGACACCCGCCTGGCTTTGAGCTGGTTGGCGTGGAC